GACAGCGTGAGAACGAGATATCGGCTATGGCATTTCTCTGGAGGATTGGCACCAATGTTGTATAAGATCATCAAGAGGCCTTCTTAATGTTTCCTTGATTGAAGCTAACATTAAGGTCCTGACACACTGGTATCTTGTTCCAGCCAAATTGCAGTGCAGCAGTGTTTTAGATGATGTGACAGTGTGGGCTCTATGTATCACATATGGCAGTTATGTCCTAAAGTATGCACATTATGGAATAAAGTGTATGTATTGATCTACAGACTCACCAAGGCACGAGTCCCACGTGAACTATGTTTCGCATTGCTCAATCAGTTTATTTCTAAAAATTTAAAAATGTGTTTTTTTTTTTCTTGGGAGCAAAAATCACTATTGCTAAGGCTTGGAAAAACCCAAGGTTCCTTTCTTATACTTTAAAGCAAAAGTTTCATGGATTATGATCCATAATAACTTTATAGTATAGTGCAAGATAGGAGAGCTGTCTTCGAAGTGGTCTGGGAACCTTGGAGGTCCTATTAAGGTATAAATTAGTTAGTTCTCCCTGCAAAAAATAAACAGGGGGTGGGGCTGGGTAATGACCTCATGAACTGTATTTCCCTTCTTTTTTTTTTTTCCCTCTTTCCTCTTTTTTTTAAATTGGGTATAATGACCCTTTCTGCTGTTTTTTCCTGCTCATTACTGGATGTAGATTATTATTTAATATGGATAATGGAAAGCGAGGCTACTGATCCAATTTTTTAGCTTGAGGTATAGATTGATGGTGACAGATTTTGGAAAGTGGGAATAGCAGGGAAGGGACTGGCAATTGGGTAGATATATTGTGTTATTTTCTTTTAATTGTATTTGTATTGTGAAATATTGGCATTTTTGTTCTTGTTTCCTGTCGTTTGTAAAATTTCTATATAAAAATATTGGAACATAAAGTGAAGCAGCATGCACTTGGATGTTTTTGCTTGGTCCAGAATGCACCAGTAAAATGTTTAAGAAAAAGGTGTTGTAGTGCTGGAAACCAACAATACAATGTAGATTAAGAAAGAAATGAAAGGCTGGCATATAGCAGATCCCACTACAGACCATTTCTGAATACAGTGAACAAATCTTTACTCAAATACACAAAATAACACACCAAACCCTAGAAAAGAGGTTTATTGATTTTAGGCATAATGTGTCCTCTGTCTGAACTGATGCCTCTTGTATTTGCACACAAAACCATTTATAAGATATACATTTTACCATATGAATTGTTATCTAATGCCATAGCTTCTCTGCTTCGTTACTGCTTGTACAAACCCTGAAGTCTGAACTTTTTTCCACATACTCCATATATTGAAGTGTGCTCCATTGAATGCAAGAATGTCTGCCACTTCCAACATAATGAAACAAGCTAAGTGATCTCTGCATCAGTGCATATCACTTACCAGGAATAAATCACTTTCGAGGAGCTCTAAGAGTGGATTCGGTCCTGGGCAACATAGACTTGTGCCTAAGGTTAAGCCTGGTGATCAAATAAATGTTGGTTTAGTAGGGATGGAGAGCGTGGTGCCTAAAACTACCCTGAGCGTGAATAGGACCACTCCACAGTGACAGTAGCCTTTAGCTAGCCCCTCCTAAGAATGGTAGAGCTTAATGGAAAAATAATGGGTTTTGGATAGTTTTAATCTCTTCTTGATGGTTATTGACTTATCTTTTATAGCATTTTAATTGCTTGCATTAAATACAGGGTTGTTCTATGACAATGTGTTTGGAAACATTCTAAACCTTATAAGAAAGTCCAGTACTAGCTGCTCACTTTTGTAAGAAGCTGTATCAATTAGTAGAGCCCTCATGACTCATAACGCTGTGTGAGTGTGGTGAACAGACAAAAATAGTAGGAGATACAATATACCCTACTAAGCTTGGCTTTTTTTTTTTCTACATGTCTTGTCCATATGTACTTCATTGTTTAAAATTAACTAAGGACTCCAGGGCAAAACATAGCGAATCCGCACTGATAGAGTCCCTTTATGCATACAGACCTGTATAAGGTCCAACCCTTCTGGGAAACAATCCTAGATTTCTGTAGGAACTTAACTAGATAACACTGCTCTGGCAGATATGTCTGTTGCCTGAATTTGTTGCTTGGCAAATCTTTACTCAGAATTGGGCGTGATTATAGTATTACTTATGGCAGCTAAAACAGTGATCCCAAATTTCTAGATATCAGTTAGGATCCCACAAGTATTCGATTGGCTAAATCAAGTGACAGTTTACTTTCAAGTGCAAGGTTGTCTCATTATGGAGGAAGTTTTTTCAGAACTAAACTTAAATATATGCTAGGGTTGCACAGATACCAAGTACAGTACTCGGTACAAGTACGAGTACATGTACCGATACTTTTGAGCTCCAAGACTACACTAGAGAAAAATTCAAAAATTAGGAGGCAGCTGTCATTTGTAAGGAGCACACGGAGCTCCTGGGATTTGTTCAATTATGTTTTAATGTATGATTTTGTTTTTATACATATAAATAAATTGATGCACAGATACCAGTTTTACGAGTACTGGTACTGGCCGAGTACTTACAAGTACGAGTACTGATACATTTTTGTTTATCGTCATGTGACAGTTTTTCTAAAACAATATCGACTAATGATTTCAGGACAGTGGTGGAGTGCCAGAGCCCGGTCCCAGCTGCAACCGCTGCAATCCTGGTAGTTCTCATGGAAATGCCAAGTATCTGCACTGGTACTCAAAGTATCTGTGCATCCCTACATGCAATCCTTCTGGCTTTCTAGATTGTAATGTCAAACATACATGAAACAGGCAGGAGAGAGGTGTGGAATGGTAAATGGAAATTACTAAGAATAGGAAGGCTGGAAGATGTGTCTGTTTGGCTTTATCATGCTATTCTGTACCGTGTAGAATTGTTTTTTTTTTCCCTTTTTATTTATTTTTTCTTTGTTTTAACTTTACTTGTTTGTATTGTTAAAAATACGAGAAATGTAAGCCAAGTGTCAAAAACATTCCAAAAACAGTGTGTGACTAGTAAACTGCTACGAGTAAGAATTAGATTAGTGTGTCCCGTTGGGGGGGATTTCCCTTAAGCTCCTGTCCCAGTGATGCAAATAAGTTAGAGGGAAATCTCCCGAAAGCAAGCGAATTCCCTTACACGGGTGTCACTGGAACAGATGCCCTCATTGGAGGATTACCTTCACTTCTTGTTTGGGTGAAATTTTCCTCTCACTGGCAATGCCCATCAGGCAAAGCGAGAGGGTGTATCTCCCCAGTTGGGGCAAAGACAGCAATAAAACCTTAAGCAAACCTTTCTATAGACAAAAATGGGGGCCGCCAATGCTGATTGCCTGCTTACGTTGCTAGTTGTTTGGCTATTATGATGGCTCACTAGCTTTAATAATCTGAATCACTGACCTAGAACGTGTATGCAGATTAGGTTGGTCAGAAGCCCTCATCTGCACACTTGTAGCCAATCGACTTGCATGTGAAAAAAGAGAAGTTATCTATGTCGGACTCCATTGAAAAGTTCCCTTAAAGTGTATGTAACGGCAAAACTTTTTGTTACAGCTTAACAGTCCTTAAACATGGAGGTTGCATTCATTTTCTTTTTTCAGGATTTTTTCCCTTTACTTTCACTTGGTAATCCTGCAACAACACACTTCCTGTCCCATTGTGTCTACATTTATTTCTCCATTGTGTCTACAGAGGGAGCTGTGGTTGTCACACATCTGCCTTTGTACATCTCCATCACATGGTAGCTTGATGGGACTACTGTAGTAGTTTACAATAAAGATAAGGTTCTTTGTGTATTTTTAGCTTACAGGAAGTGACAAGGACACGGCATTTCTGGGAAGATCTACAAGTATTTTCTGTACTTACTGAAAATGTCTTTAGCCTGAAGAAAGAAAACCAATGCAGCCACCCCATCTAAGGACTGGTAAGCGGCAATATACAAAATGTTTGTTTTTGAGTTTAGATACGCTTTAAAGTAGTTTGTTAATAAAATGTGGCTGTTTTGAATTTGGCGAAAGAAAATGGAAGGTGTCATAGATTTTGAACCTTTAACATGTATCGTGGATTGGCAGTAGAGCTGAGATTCAGGTGTCAAGAAATCGAAACCTTGCAGCTGTTATTTTCATCCAACCAATATTTTCACAATTGGTAATAACTAGGTGACCACCCCAATGGTTTGGCTATCAGACTTTATAGTGTGTCTTTCAGATTGTGTCTGTATTAAAGGATACATCACAACATTCAAATTTAATAGATGGGAAACACCCTTAACATATCACAATATGTGCTGGCAGTGCAGAAACAATGTTGAGAGTCCAGGATCTGCCTTCAGGCTTGCTCTACAATGAATCATATTGTATATAAATATCCGTCAAGTGTATATATAGAACCACTCGGCCATCTTTGGACAACTGTTGGATATTGGGATGTTATACATTATAACTGTGCTGCTTCTATAAAACAAATCCAACACTAGGTGCTCTTTGAAACACCTTATTTAATTCAGCACTCCCTTTTAGGATTCCCAACAAGATTACAAAATGTTTGCTTGGAAAGGAAAACAAAAAACTGATGTAACAATTTCATAAAAGTAAAAGATCAGTAGCTCACTGTCACATGATAAAACACCTGAAATGAATGAAATAGCTTTTTTTTCTGTAATAATTGCATATCTAAATTTTTTAAAGATAGATTAAATTTGACATAAAATATTTATTTTAAAAATTCAGATTTTCTTCATAAAATTTTATTTAAAAACAAACAATGAACCTTTTCTGTGTTAATAGATTGTTCTAAATATCTATGGATTTGCAGAAAAAAATAATAATAATTTTCTTTATAATCTTTGCAGAGATAAATGAACTCGGAAACCCTTCGATATTGCTGCAGTTCAATTTGCCATAAATGATTACAAAATATAGAACATCTCTTTACAAATACAAATTAGCATATATTACAGATCATTTACATAATATCTAAACTGTCTTTTTTCCCTTAAACAGCTATAAGCTTTTTTTTAAATCTGGGTGTCAGTGCATTGATTGCAGCGATTCCAGTGTCATTTGCCCTTAATGTGATAGTCAAAAAAAAGTTGACTATTAAAATGATATTTTCACCATGTAAACTAAATTTTACATCATCAGCGGGATTCCTGGGCCTATAGTAATGCGATGTGCGGACCAGCACTTTAGAAGAGGGTGCGACTGTGGAAGCTTGCTGGTGGCCAACTCTGGTGGCCTTCCCATTGGCCAAGAGTAAAGATACAATAAAAAAAAAAACGACCAGACCTAGTAAACGAGTAAGAAGCTGATATGGTAGGTATGGCTGTGGGGTAATGACGAGGGCATTTTGATTGTCATCACCATATAAAAAAAAAAATATATCACATAATTGCATCACTGATTCAGGTGCAACATGCGACCTACTGTTCACATAGAACACAATATGGTTTGACCATCCTCCTTGACCACTTAGAACTCCGATACTGAAGACTTTGCATAAAAACACATTATCCACCAGAGCCAGGAAAAATGTGAGTTGTTGTCCTGCAACAGCAGATGTCCTGGTAAGTTGCACCTGCAACGTGTATCCATGGCATGTACCACGTCTGACCACAAAAAGCTGGCTTGGTCTTTTTCCCTTTCTAGTGCCATGCTTCATTAACTGAGAGGCACTTCTTTTTTTTTTATAGAATCCTAAGTGTCTTTTTACAGCTTCATTAAATACTATAAAGTTGTTATACAAATCATTTCATCAGCTAGATCTTCTTCATATTTATTGGGCTCAGGCTCCTCATCGCTGAACCCAGGGCCAAAGTCTTGAAGATCATAGTCCCTCCTACTTAGGATTGGGAACATATCGCCCCCTGCTGTCCCGTTACGAATGCTGCCGTTTAGAAGATTGCTTGCTGCGCTTTCCATCTCATCTATAGTCATCTCACAGGCATCAGCAATCTCGTGTTTTGTGGCAGACACAAATTTGGGGTCCCTAGCATATCTCCCCAATCCCTCGGAGATTAGGACCTGCAATATAGAGAACAAGGTTTAAATGAGGATGGAGTACCACATGGAATGAACACAGGTGACAGTTATACCAAGAATACAAATATCACAATAGGATTACTTAGGCTCCATTCACACTGGAGCGGCCGTCAGCGCGTATCCGTGCAGCCGCTCTAAACAGAGGAAACAGTGCACTTTATTGTTCATCGTTCAGATTATTGCACAAACAGTACAAGTGCAATAATATGGCAGATTCCACCTATTTAATAGCCGCAAACAAGTGGCATCCGTGTGCATTAAAAATGTTAGCGTTTTCGTCCCGCATGGTCTGCCGCGCGGAAAATCGTGTGGGAAACACAAACGCTATATGTGAATGGAGCATTACTTCTCATGGCTGCAGTGAGTCAAGACACTTAGAGGGCAATTTATCAATACTGGAGCAGACAGAATGTGGAGCAGTTGCCCACGGCAACCAATCAGCATCCACCTTTCATTTTCAAACCTTAACTGAACAAACTGAAGAGAGAAGCTGATTGGTTGCCATAGGCAACTGCTCCAGTTTCTTCTGCTCCAGTTTTGCTAAGTTCCTCCCTTAGTGCTTATCTCTACATATACAAAATTAATTATCTGCCCATAGTATCCCACATTTACACCTACAATGTAGGCGCGTACAGGGATTCCTGCATCAGAACATGCAATTTCCTGCAGCAGGAATCCCAAATCTGCCATTTACAAGTGGCAGCTGTCATCCACTCAAGTGAATGGTCGCTGCTGTCACCCCATCAATAAATTAAACTGGTGACAGCTGCCACTTGTAAACATCAGATTTGGGATTCTTGCTGCAGGGAACTGCAAGTTCCTTATGCAGGAATCTCTAAATGCACCTATGCTGTAAGTGTAAATGTATCTTTAACTTGCATGTAAACCCTAACTGAATGACATTTAGCTTTCCTAAAGCATTCTGTATGAAACAATTGACATGTTTTTGTTTTTTGTAATCATTTTATTAATGTTTTTGTTCATGTTTTTAGTAAAATACATCCTTTGCTGCATCTCAGCAGCTGCTTCCTGTCTGCATGCATGCATACCTTAAATTGTTACAGCTCATTTCTCAGGGTGGGTTTCCCGATGGTGGCCTACAATGGAGTATGTGTGTAAGCACAAACTGCTTGTAGTCTCCGCTGAGGGAGAGAGTTATGGTGACACAAGAGACAGGGACTGACCGTTGTCACCCTATCAGGAAAGTGCTCGCACAAGGAATTTCATGGCAGGACCACCAGATATTATTTAAATGAAACCTACAGATTTATAAATATTAAAATGAGTTTTGAAATGACATTTACATGTTTAGGTTTTAATAAGATTTTAGTGGCTGAATTTACATCTACTCTAATCACAAACATACCTGGAATGTTATTCCTCCAGTTTCATTGTTGTAGCTCAGTCTCTACCCCACAATCTTCTAACTAAGCAGAATGTCTGAGCTGGTAATATCTGAGCACAATTATGGTGATACACATACAAAGTGGGTAATGAAGCTTAAAGAGAACCAGCCACCTACTCTTTGCAAAATTAGCTGACAACAGTTGACATATATAAATCTTAAAGGGCACCAGAAATGTAATTCATATTTTATTCCTCTATATACACCGATCAGCCATAACATTGTGACCATTGTGAGAGGTGAGGTGAATAACATGGATTATCTTGTTACAATGGAGCCTGGAAGTGGGTGGGATATATTAGGCAGCAAGTAAACATTTTGTCCCTGAAGTTAATGTGCTGGAAGCAGAAAAAAATGGGCAAGTGTAAGAGTTTGAGTGACTTTAACAAGAGCCGAATTGTGATGGCTAGACGACTGGGCTAGGGCAACTCCATAACTGCAGCTCTTGTGGTCCACCACCAAACGTTCCTACAATGGGCACGTGAGCAGTAGAACTGGACCACTGAGCAATCGAAGAAGGTGGCCTGGTCTGATGAATCACATTTTCTTTTGCATTATGTGGATGGCTGGGTTCATGTGCGTTGCTTACCTGATAGTACAGATGGTACCAGGATGCATTATGGGGAAAAGGCAAGCCAGCGGAGGCAGTGTGATGCTTTAGGCAATATTATGCTGTGAAACCTGGGGTCCTGCCATTCATGTGGATGTTACTTTGACACGTAGCACCTACCTAAAACATTGTTGTTGGCCAAGTACATCCCTAATCGAAACTGTATTCCCTGATGGCTGTGCCCTCTTTCATCAGGTTAATGCACCCTGCTACACTGCAAAAATGGCTCAAGAATGGTTTGAAGAACACAACAAATTCTTCAGATCTCAATTCAATCAAGCATCTGTGGGATGTGCTGGAAAAACAAGTCCCATCCATGGAGGCCCCACTTTGCAACTTACAGGACCTAAAGGATCTGCTACTAATGGCTTTGTGCCAGATACCACAGCATACCTTCAGACATCCAGTGGGGTCCATTCCTTGATGGTTTAGGGCTGTTTTGGGAAGCTACTCAATATTAGGCAAGTGGTCATAATGTTATGGCTGTTTGGTGTATGTTCATTGCTGCTCAAATGATGCTAGCACATGCTCTAACTGATCCCCACTGCTTAGTTCTAGCTGCACTCCCTTTATCTCCCTAGTTGAGGTAGTATTGCTATTGTGTATACAATACTAGGAGGGTCCAAGATTCAGGAAGTGTCACCCTTATTTCTGTTTGGCAGTGAGAGACAGTGGAGAACCCAAACAGTTTTGCAAAATAGGATATATAGGGTTTATTTTTGATTGCTGAATATATTTATTACGGACTAGCTCTCTTTAAAAAAGCCTGAGCAGAAGAGCAAAGTATGGTTTTAGAAATATACGGAAATGTTCGTAACTTAGAAATAATATCTTCTGAACTTCCTTTCTCTAGTGAACTGGTCTATGACATTTAACTGCCCTAAAGCAGGGTCAGTGATGTACCCTCTCTTATACAAATACTTTGATTCTCTGTATGCATCAACTAAACTTACCATAATCGTAGGAATTATACCACCATCCAGGTCACAAGAACAGGGTCATAGAATTCATAGCTGTTGCTAGATTCCTGCTCCAAGGTGGATCCATGGTCGGACCCTACGCCCATTACTGCCTCTTAGTATAGCTACAATAAAGCAAAGCGTGCCAAGTGAGGATGTTTTTGCCTCAGCCATGCACAGCTGTGTTGAGGGGTCGTCTTGTATATTTACCTCCCTGTCCAGCATGCTCTGCTTTAATGTATTTCTAAGGGTTAGTAATAGAGGATGAGAAGAGATGAATCCAATAAAAGGTGTGGGGACCTGGTCCAAAGCCTACACTAGGACCTCCTAGATCATAGCTATACCAGTGCCACCATTGTGAAAAAATGTGCTACCTTTTTCTAACCCACAGTGCTGAGAAGGTTAGGAGCAAAGGGTAAGCTCTTCTTGATTCTTCTAGAGATTTACACCTTAAGTGAGCTAGGACTGTCAAGGTTTATGACACAGGGATGCGTTTTAGACCTACCAGTCCCTAATTGTATGGTTGAGGACTAAGTAGCCTAAATGTGTCACTGTTGTAGCTAGTAGTAGTTAGTCACAATTATCTAGACTTCTTCAAGGAGTGGTAAAGAGGTTTCACTGCTCATCCAAGCAGTTTCCTCAGTTTAATGAGGGTCGGGAGCATACCCCAGCATGTGTCACTGTTGTAGGTTTTTCACTGTGGTCAAAGGGTAGCTTTTTATAGAATCATGGCTTGGGTGCCAGTGACACCTGGGCTTTGGTTGTTATTACATAAGCCCATACAAGCCACACTACAGTCCTGCAAGGGGTATAATGCAGTCACATATTTCTGAATAGCTGTACAGTGGGCAATATAAGCCAAAACTACTTACGGCTTCCACTAGGCTGTCTGCACTCCTCTGCTTGTCACTGTGTTTGTTCCTGAAGTCATTGGGTACAGTCAGGTTGGATTGGTTAAATGTCCTGTATGAAATGTCTGTGTCATCTGTGTACCATGAGCTTCTTTGTAAGGATGGGAGACTGCCATTCATCTGCTCCTTAGACTCGGCATGGTCCACCCGGATGAGGGGCGTGTAGAATGGGGTGCGGTCCCTGTTGTTCGGAGTAGCCGGGGGAGTCGCCCAGGATCTTGTAGAGCGACAGGGAGAATGTTTCTGAGCTTTGCTAGAGTCCAAGCCAGCCACAGCCATGATCTGGAAAAGAATGAGAATTACACAGAATTTTAGGTCTATTAGGGTAGCCAAGTATGGCAACTTCCTATTTTAGAATTTGTGTTGCTGAAGGAGAACCATGCAACAATTAGACAGTCATTATAGGAGAGGAAACATGTAATTGTTTGCTACAGAGGACAGTAGAAACTGAAAAACAATCTTTCCTCAGACACATTAATAAATGAGGTCAAACAAGATGTTATTAGAGATGAGCGAATTGATTCACCTGCATGTCCGCAAAAATGTACTAATTCACCAGGCAAAGTGATCCGCTTAAATGTATCCCCGGAGATGTGAAACAGCCTGTTACTGGTAGAGGACTCTCAAATTTCCACTTGTGTGGTAGCTCTTAGGACTTCTGGTATCACAGCTTTTTATTGCCTTTGCTTATTTTTATATGTAATGAGATTCTAAAGCAGTAACAGGACTAGCAGTGAGTACATAGAAGACATGTTTTGCTCAGGTCACCCTCTGATTTTTATGCAGACGTAGCCATATGTTGAGGCATCACAGCCATAAGTGAGATTCACCTTGCACGCAGGATATTTAAAGAGCAGCTGCAGGTAAAACATTTTTCTTTTGGAAAGACTGGTGGAGCGCATATACTTCTGTCAAGACCCTATGGACTCTGTGACCCCACTGGGGGGATTTCACCATACTTTCGTTGCCTGTGACAGTATCACAAATGGAGGGAGCAGTTGTGAAAACACAAAAATATGCATATAGTAATAAATAACCTGACAGCGGTTCTACCACTTTTTGAATACAGTATTACTGAAAAAACTACAACGTATTTTGTTGCAATTGGTGTCCCTTCTGAAGAGATTTCCCATCACTTCTTCTCCCATTTTCTCCATTAGGAACACAACCTGCAATAAAACCTGAGAGAGACTCTAGTCTTCCCTTACTCTACTATCAAAAAAGTATTTTTATTTCTGTCTGAGTTGCTGCTAAAGGGTTCCCCTCACTTCCTGTCTGCAAACGTTGTCAACAGGACAGGACGTGTGGGAGAACAAGGATAGCATTAAAATAGACAAGGGTTTCCTACTCTATCCAAAATTAAAAAAAAGTTTTATTCATTACATACACTTTAAGCTGTAGTTTTTCGAATCAGCTTTGGGGTCTACATAAATCACATTCCAAACAATATCAGGTATTCTTTCCTATGTCCATGAATGGCTGAGAAATGGTAAAATTATACAGCAGTAATGAAAGAGTATCATTACTGTCCTCTAATGGATAGGCCTCAGTCCTGAGGATATGAATCTTATTAGGCGATCACCCTGCGGGGTGACTGGGATCTATCACAGGAAAAATACGAATTGTTCATGATCACGGGAGCAAAGACCAGACAATTACAGGACATTATTAAGAGATACACACACTAATCACTGTTATAGGGAACATTACTTGTGCCAGAAAGCAGTGCTGAAGACTTCTAGTGCACTGCATAGTGTCATATTTACTGCCTGGCAATCATCACATTAAACAAGGATGTCACATGAGGCTATAGAAGTAAATGGAAAGTGGAGGTTTGTTTTATGCTCTAAGGTAATACTATTTGGCTTATTTATAAGAATGGCTGCACTGGGAGAATGTAGGCAGTTAGTCTGGTTAATAAATAAAACCAAAGGTGATCAGTGCTTTGTTTAAAAGTGTTTGTGATGCCTAAAGCAACCAGTGAGATTGTCCCAGTTAGTTTCCAATGCAGGTTAAAAAATAAACACCAACATTCGACTGCTATGGGAGCACACAATAATGAGTTAAATAAATAACAAAGTAATAAAACCCGGAGGACATAGAATGGGGACAACCACTAAGTGGGAGAAAAGACCACATTGGGCTGTCAGGCAAGCATGGGTTAGGGTAGGTATTACTCTCAAGTAAATTTCCTCTAGACAAACCAAGCAATATATAATATACAGGGGATTTGGCTGCGTGGATCCGTCGACATGAACAATCCCATACATTGCTATGGGGACCGTTCATGCGACCGCACGGCTCAGCGCGATTCGAACCATCCCCCGCCCGAGCTGCTCCCTGACCCTTTTTTGCCGCACTGCGGTTTCCATACAGCTTTCAATGGAACCGCTCTGATTAGCACAGTTTTGGGCATTTTTAATTGGGTTTCAGCACTAAAGTGCCATAAAAAACTCCTAAAACCTCCCATGTGAGATCAGCACAGAAACCGTGCTAATCCAAAGCTGCCCTGGTGTGAATGAGCTCTAAATGTTTATAGCTGGTACATGTGCCATGTTCCATGTAACAAATGAACAGAGATGTAATCATCAGAGTCCCCGAGGGATAATCAAAACCATTTGGGTGGTTTAACTCTCCAGCATGCACAATAAACTTGCCAGCACTTTTTACAATATATGCACCACAATGTTTTTTTTTCTCCAGAGGATCTTTCTTGCAGCTATGCATCTATGGAATAGATTGCAACTGTGCTATCAAAATTCCAAACCAAAAATGTTCAGAATGAATTCCTGATGCAGCAACATTAACCCAATAAACAGATTGTCACTGCCCTTACTGGTGGCCTCCAAACCATCTAGGAATCATCCACAATGCTTCAAACTTGGATAAGATAAAAACTGAAAATTCTCGTTTTAATGATCCACAGAAATGGTTTAATAGAACAAAGCATAGAAATAAAGCACCGCTCCTCTACGGCAGGGGAATGACAAACCGGGTGCTCGCCGGCAGGAGTGTGTCCTCGCCCCAACCAAACAGGTATATAATAAAGGAAAAATCCGGCCACTCTCCATTCCATGCTCAATCAGTTTATTGAAGGTTTTTCAGACTCCTGCCCAAGGTTCGCCTCCTAAGTCATGTTTCACCCAATCCTGGGCTAAGTCGTAGAGATATGACTAAGCCCAGGATTGGGTGAAACATGTCCGAGGGGGCGGACCTCGGGCAGGACTCAGTGTCACTGACGATTTTCCCTTTATTATATACAAGGGGTTTAATGTTAGTAACTTTTTAGGATAAGATTAGTTTGCATCCATACGTATATCTGTTTGGGCATGTAAACAGTTTGATGGGAGTCTTTTTTCAACTCTGCAGTTTTAAATCTGTGATTTTTCTAGCAAATGTTTTTATTTCTCAATCAAGACTCTTCTCTATCCACCAACCCGTAGCTCTCTGATGCAGTTGTCCTTCACCTTCTTTCAGCTGCAGGAAGGCCCCTGTACTCGTTGCCTAAGCTGGACAGCTTTTGGATGTCTCAAAGGCTTAGGACTTTGTGTCCCTCAATGGAGGAGCACGGAAATAGAATTGTTGTACTCACCATAAAATCCTTTTCTTGGAGTCCATTGAGGGACACAGGTCCCACCCCTCCACCCCTGTGTTTTACTAAGGCATGCTGGTAGTAGGAAGGGGTTATACCCTGGGCTGGCAGTTTTTTTGTTTACTAGTGTCATTGCTCCTGCAGGCAGCAGGATAACCCAGAAGGTTTAGGACTTTGTGTCCCTCAATGGACTCCAAGAAAAGGATTTTCTGGTAAGTACAAAATCTTATTTTTACTGTCAGATTAAAACCTAGCACAGGCTAAGGGGCATATGTTCCACTTTATATGTTGATGCATGCAGATCTCAATGCTGAAGGCTGCACATGAGCAGGCAGTGTTAACAGCCTGTGCTATAATTCTGCCATCCCTTGCATGTGTTGGGGCCAGTTGGAGCCAGGCATGGGATGCAATGGGCTATCTCTAGGATGTCAGCAGTAGAAATATGACTGAAAAATTCTATCCCTACCCCAAGCTTTCTAAAAACTAAAAGGAAAAAAATGGCCTGCAGTTGGGCTGCTCCTAGAACCAGTGCTAGAATGCCACCATTATCCAGTTACACAGTATGCTCAATCTGTTATTGCAGTTTCACCTCTTGGGAGTCTTCCCTTGAGCTGTTCTTTGCACTATAAATGCATTGACAGTTAACACCCAACCAGGATCAGAGCCTAAAGAATTGAAGCTTGCCTATAAAAAAACTATTCCAGATGGTAAGGTGAAACTGGTACCTACTTGCTGCTGCATTAAATGCAGGGGTAATGCTGTACGGTGATGTAAGTTTGGTGATAGAGGTATTTCATCCTGGCTGCTCTGTCTGCGAAGGCATTCAAAATTGAATGAAGATCTTCTGTTGGCTGCAACATCAGAGAAATATAAGTATTCTTTTTATCCCATATAAGACATTTCTGACATTTAATAGAACAATTATACATTTTATTATCCTGCTGTAGCTATTCGGGAGTCTATAAATACACTTTCAGAGTCACTATATAAGAGGTTTGTGGCTCACACTTATATTCACAAATGCTGCAGCTGGAACATATGTTTTTATTAAATGTTACAGTTAGGGATACTCAGCTCTGTGCTGCAGGTACCGTAGAGCAATTCATCCTCAAAGTTTACAGACTCGTGTTAAATGTGCCTTGCTGGTCAGCTAAGTGGGGCCCAAACATTGGGTCTGGAAGATTGCACTGAGCTTAATGGCTGAGCGCACATGTCCATGGTTGGTGGGCGTCACTGCTTCGCACTGGCTTACAAAACTTGTGCCAGGCCGTAGAAATATATTGCTTCCGGAGCAGGGTAAGATGCGGAATTTTTGCATCTTGTACACATACATAAGATGTCTTCAGTTTTAATGAGGTTCCTCTGGGTGCTGAAGAACCAAATTACCTACTGCTGTGCCCCCTAACACCCTTCCATAGAATTCACACTGAGAAGGACAACAGGTATCATGTGAGGAGGAAGAAGTAAGTAAAGTGTTCCCTTGTCTGCCATGCAAACTCTAAAACAGAGTGTCCTATAACAACAATTATGGCAGTCTAGCAACTACGTCATTGAGAAGGACTGATACACCTGACAATATTTGTGAGCTGGTTTGAGTTCCTAAAATCTGCTTAGTATTATTCAGGCCTAGAACAGTAAAAGCAACAAAAAAAAAAATGGCATAATTTAATCTGTGAAAATGTTTACACATTCAAATAAATTAATAACGTCAGCTTAAAGCAGAATTTGGTCAAATTGCAACAAGGACTGTGTAAAATGGTTCACCTGCCTGTGATAGGGTCCAACAAGTGGCCCTTTGATGTCAAACTCACAATGCACCTGGCCTGCTTTAAAGCTATAATGCACAGAGAATTCTTAATTGTCAATAATTATTGACATTTTCATGAAACAATGTGTAAAAGACAACAATGTGTAAAAGCAATATTTCAATACATTCGTTTTGCTGGAAGAATCAGCATTTTATTACATGGACTTCAATGTGAAACTACAGAAGCTTGCAAGAAAGGAACCCAGACAAGATGGAGAATAACGTGGTTGGCAGACATCTCCATACACTGTTCTATTTTCTAAAGATGAACTATTCCAATCAAGCTGATCAGCTATCTCATCATTGTACTCCAGTTTGATCTTTGGGAGAACATATACAGGTGAAACTCGAATAATTAGAATATCGTGCAAAAGTAATTGCAGTAATTGCTGCAAAAGGGGCCCAAACCAAGTACTGAGTACATATGCATGCTTGTACTTTTCAGAGGTCCGATATTGTTCTATGTACAATCCTTGTTTTATTGATTGCATGTAATATTCTCATTTTCTGAGATTGTGGATTTGGGGTTCTTGGGGTTTTCATGAGCTGTAAGCCATAATCATCACAATTATGACAAATCACGGCTGGAATTATCTTGCTTTGCATGTAGTGAGTCTATCTCATATATTAGTTTCACCTTTTAAGTTGCATTAGTGAAATAAATGAACTTTGCACAATATTCCAATTATTCGAGTTTCACCTGTATAGCCAGTGGTCTCAAATTGTTTTATACTGAACAATCCTTTATGCCTCTAAATATACCATTGGAGCTGATCAAACAAATCTATCACAATCTATGCAGAAAGAGTTTTATTTAGGTTACTCACATGGAGGTGTTGGAGGCAGCAGTCTCCGTCTTGGCGATTTCCTTGATTCATAACATAACTGTGGGTCCTCCTCTTCAAAGAAGCTGTGTGGATTGTGGTAGCCTTTGGGCCGCTCATAGTCGAGGTCATTGGCTGGGTACAATGTGGGCTCATCATACATTGGCCTGAGTTAAGGGAGATTCTAGTGAGATGGACAGATAGAGAATATACGGCTCTATAGCACTAAAAGGAAAACATTTTGGTTTTCCCCATCATTTCCCCCAATTAAAGCTGTCATTTTTCAATGCCAGTCCTAGATATAGGATTGACTGCTATGAATTACTGATTGATCTGATTGACTGCTATGGACTACAATTCTGGTATTCCTCCAGTTTTATGGAAGAGCCTGGTTATGGTACTGGGGTCATTCACCTGTTTCCAGACAGCATACTGTCCTCTTCATAATACTCCTCTCCACTGTAATACTCCGCCTCCCCCAGGTATGGGTCCTCATTGTCCATAAAGTCAGGATCTTCACGGAAGATGACAGGCATGTTCCTCTCTCCAGACTCTGATCTGTGATAGTAACATCAATATATCAAGGGGACTAGCACTGGTGTGTTTAATAGGTCTACTGCATCCCACCACTGCAAAAAGGTCATCACAAGGCTTGAAAAAATGAGAATGTTCTCTACAATCCTGCATTGTAAGGGCCAGTTAGTACAACTCTATGTTTTAATTTTAAAAAATCCCCTAATAGTCACAAATACATACATAAGGGATATTTAAATCCCTGGTAACCTGTTCAAAGTCTTGCATGCTGCAGAAAAAGACCCCTGCTCCCTGTGAGGAAGCAGCAGTCATTCTGCAGAGGTCCAGCATTCCCCTGCTGAGTCAGACCCAGAGATCTCCAATCAATGGGTGTTGACTGCAGAGCTATAAGTCTCACTCAACAGGGACATATTGGACCTGTACAGAGACACTACTGCTTCCCCACAGAAAGCAAAGGTCCTTCTCTGGAGCTGCTGGCAGGTGACAAGGTTTTCTACTCAGACTGTAGCTGGTTTAGAAAGAAAACAAACTGTAAGACACCAAAGGGGAATTTATCAAAACTGGAGCAGACAAAATCTGGAGCAGCTGTGCATGACAACCAATCAGCTTCTCTTTCATTTTCAAATCTTAAATGAACAAACTGAAGAGAGAAGCTGATTGGTTGCCATGCACAGCGGCTCCAGATTTTGTCTGCTCCAGTTTTGATGAATTCCCCCCCATTTTGTTTAGGTGCACCTGAAATGTATTTAGCAGATTTAAGCTGTTCAATTTAATGTGGGCTGTAAGGCTTCATTCACACAGTGTAGAATCGGGCCGTACAGATGCGTGTTGAGTACACGGCTGCATCGGGCATTTCCCAGGAGGGATAGGTGCTGCATGTGATTGCACACAGCAGCCTGTTCTTGCCTATGGGAGGACACGACCATACGCACACCCGAGCTGCACATTCGTGCGGGGGTCCGTACTCTGACGCAGACAGGATGGATCCTGTCTGCGTCCAAACACGGACACCTGGACCCGCATGGATGTGCAGTTCGGGTGTGCGTATGACGACAGCGTACGGCCGCGTCCTCCCGTAGGAAAGAACAGGATGCTGCACGCAATCACACGCAGCACCTATCCTACCAGGAATGGCCCGATACGGCCGTGCACTCCACACGGATCTGTACGGCCCGATTCTACATTGAGGCCTAAAGTGAGTCACCTCTAAATGTTTTCATACTAAAAACTATTCCAGGAAAGTGCACACACCAAGTAAGTAATCTTGAAATATTTGACTGTGTACCCAGAGAGCCCCCCAAGACCCAACCCAAGTCATTCAACAGTCCAATACTGGGATGGCAGATAAGGAACCGAGCTTGAAATATTGAACAGCAGGGCACAAGTACACGAAAAAAGCATAACTAAGCTACTTATCTGCACTACAGGGTGTTGGCACTTTGGGAGTAGTTCTATGAGCTGGGAGTAGTTCTATGAGCTGAGAGGTGAGCTTTAAAAAAATGAATATCTGATTCCCAGAAGGGGTATTCTATACAAAGCTGAAATCCGGTTTCCAAACTTACTGGAGGATGCAACCGACATTTCCTTCAGTCTGTTCAAAGCCTTAAATGCATTGTGGTTTGGTGTAGTAGACGCAAATACATTATCAGTTATTTCACTGCTAGTATGAGGACTTTACATAAAGATCTGAAAATTAAAATGTGATTATTTTATGTTTTGGATTGAGTCAGCGGGTTAATACCCCTGTGAATATTTTAATGTTGTCCAAGACTCCATTGGGCAGATTTCCCTTTACTTCCTGCCTTAGTGATAATGTTGTCAGCAGTACAAGAAGTGAAGGGATATCTACAACATGGACAGAGAAAAAATGTAAACAGTGAGGGAAAACCAACTAAACTTCAGATTATTCCTTATGATTTCTTTGATATATTAGCTGGGCTAGCCAACAAATCTGGCACCGTTGTGTAGGTCCACTATGGAAACCTTTAGATATGCAATCTTCAAGTGCATGTAAAAAGTTTTAGTTAGGGTAGGGAAATCTTCCAACAGGACACAGACAGGAAAATAATAGCTAACAAGGGTTTTAAACTTTCCCTACCCAATCCAAAACATTTTGGGTATAAACATCCTGTCCAGTACAAGATCGCAAGGGACAGAGCAGTCTCCAGTAGCTGCCCATCCTCTAGGGAAGAGCGGGTAAGAACAGGAAGTGGCTTGGCTTGCTGTGTTTTGGAGACACACACACAGCTTACTAGCACAGACAAGGGTGGCTCCATAGGATTCTGTAAGGGAAAGGAGCAGCCATAAAAGTGATTATCAGTGTAATGCTCAGGGTACCAGCTGATTCTGCCAGAGACTAAAACTTTTAAAAATCAAGGCGCAGCATCCATTGTAAGTGTTAATCAGCAATATGAAATAGCTTAAAAACTTTGAGTGTAAAATCACTTTGAAGTGTAATACCACTTTTCCAGGTGAATTTGGGAAAATGGAATTACCCCCTCCAATCTGACCCCCTCTATCCCCCCCCCCCCCCTCCCAGCTGTTCTTACCTTTGGCCGAAAGCTCCTTCCCCTCCACCTTTGCCAGTGTACTACCCATACTCCGTACACAGCAGCGCACCATGCACTCTGTATTTAAAATTTTGCTTGCGAATGGCAAGCATTCATTGGTCAGTGCTGCCCAATCGAAGCGCTTCTTAGCAAGAAGCTTTTCTCATTGGTCAATGCTGTCAGTTAATAGCGTTGACCAATGACTGCTTATTATTTGTGAGCAACATTTAAAATACAGAGTGCGCTGCTGTGTACTGAGTACAGGTAGTACACTGGTAATGGCGGAGGGGAAGGAGCGTTGGGCCAAAGGTAAATACAGCAGAGGCGGGGGGGGGCAGATTGTAGGGGTAATTCTATTTTCCCAAATTCACCTGGAAAAGTGGGATTACCCTTTAATAAATGCCCTCTGTAGTGAAAGTCCTCATGATGACAAGACCTGGACATTTTGTGCAGATTGTTGGGCATCGCCATTTATTTAGAAAAATTCTACATTTTGACCAAATTCTTACAAAAGCTGATGTAAGAATCCTCTGTTCACATTAATTAGGACACCCCTGGCTACCATACTGATACCTGGACAAATTGGTTAGAAAGTATTGTAAGGCATCTCTGACGCAGAGTGAATATTGGACAGTACAAATACACAGATCATGCAGAGACAGAACACTGAAGCAGAGCATGTAATAACCATGGACTTCACATATATTGTATGGCGCAAGCAGTTACCACAGACACAGAGGAACATACCTAATATAAGTCTCATAATAGCGGGTCCTATCCGGAAAAGCCATACAAATATGGGAAGATATTTATTAGTCATAAAATAAATATCAGTTATTACATATGTAGACAACACAACAACAGGCAGACAGTGCCACCAACCTGCAGAGAGTCTAAGAAGAAAAAAATTAATGTTTCATGCAAAAAATTAAGAAAGCTGGAGTTGAAAGATTAAAATATATGTTTCATGTGTCAGCTACATCCAGAGATGGATGACTTGAATCATTTCTATAGTCACTAAAACATTTTACTTCTCAGTTACAACACGTTTGACCGTTTTCTATGTTTGTAATAATAATTAAAAAGAGAGAGCTGATCTTTTACAGTTTTTCCTTTTGCAACATACGTAGAATCAAATTTTGGTAAATAAACTGACAATTGAAATGCTGCAAAGGAAATTGTCTCAATATGTGACCTTTGTTGTCTCAGTTATGAATGTTTGAAAGAGGATATTCACCCCTGTGCTCATATCATAAAAAGTATAACTGGATTTATCCTTTTATATTCACAAAAGAGTGAAGAGTTTGGAGAAGGCAGGAGAATCTAGGACAACATAGCTGAACTTCAAAGTGAGCTGAATTGGAGGGTTCTTCCAAATCGGCTATGTTGTCCTAGATTGTTCACTTCTCCTGCCTTCTCCAAACTCTTCACCTTTTTGTGAATAACCTTGTAACACTCAAAACACCTTATTTAAAATGTTAAATATATAAATTAAAAAGGTAATTTCTGTTTAGATTCATGCTTTTAGAAAGTATATAAAGCAGCAAGTGTTCAGGCAGAGCTGTGTGAGTACCTAAGAGCCTGGTGAGAAGAACATTAAACTGTGTTGAGACACACATGGGTCACAAGTCACTAGTTGGGAGCCACTGCTATTACCAAACAACAGCAATTATATTTTCTAAAAAATAGCTAGCCGAGGCTGCTTAGTCATAAACAGCTGAATTCTCATATCTAACCTTCCATTTTCTGGCGGACTTCAATACAAGCAAGTAATCAGAAGAGAGAATGTGTGCATCATTTTAGAAATTGGTAGATGGGGAAGCCTTCCGCACACCTTGCAGCAATCAAGGCCTATGTAGAAAATGGTGCTCGCAGTGACAACCACGGATGGCGCCGTACAGACACAGAGTAGAGACACAAATCACCAGCGATCAATGATATCATCAAACATGTCCCATTTAATTGGACAAAACGTCACAGTAACAGCAAGCCAACGTTTCAGAACCACACAGGGTCCCTTCCTCAGGGCAGAAAAACGTGCCCTGAGGAAGGGACCATGTGTGGTTCCGAAAACGTTGGCTTGCTGTTACTGTGACAGTTTGTCCAATGAAATGAACATGTTTGATGATATCATTGAGTGCTGGTGATTTGTGTCTCTACTCTGCATCATTTAAGAGACTTCCAAGTGAACCCAACAATATAAAATGATGTGACATGTCATAAAGCAGTTTTAATTTAACACTTATTTTTCCTCAACCTGTTAATGGGAGGAATATATCCAAATAAGAGGCTCAGTAAATTCCTGTACTTAGCCAAAGTCTCTGCATCCCCATGTGCTAACCAGTGGTTTAGTGCATGCATGTTTAGATTTGTGTGTCTGTATCCTGTACTGGAAGTGTGCAAGCAGGAATGCTGAGAGCCTGGTTACTCAGAACAGAAAAGCTTTGGCACACCAAAAAAGTAGTTTTTTCCCCCTAAAAGAGAGCCACTATGGCCAAGTTAGATGAACATTCATTACCGGATTAGTTTTATTAAAAAAAAAAAATGTTGCTGTGAGATTTACCTTTTAATACTGGATTTTCTTGGTTTCTCGTAGTCATTCTTTGAGTAGGTATAGTAGCCATTCTCAGACGCGTGGCTATGAACAGCGAGACTAGAATGTTTCCCACTTGCGGGTTTGAACACGTTGGCGTTGTTTAGGTTGGCATTGGTGGAGTTTGGTACATGTTTCCCAGAGTATTGATGGTTGTGATGGTTGTGTTGCACAGAGTTGCCCGAGTGGGAATACACAGATTTGTCAAAGTCGCTCGCAGAGCGGATCGATGGACGCTGCACATGCAGAGGGCGCCGCGTGGTGTTAGTCTGCTGATAGGAATTACGTCTGTCATTCCCCACATGGTTGGCATGGTTTCCAAACAGACCACCATTCCTCTGCAAGTGAAGTGATGTTCATTAAGAATTTTGTAACTCATTTCGAGCGTATTCTTTGACCTTTACAAGGCATTTGACACAATCCAAATATGTATGTAAGTTTCTAAGCAGAAGTACCTTTTTTTAACATTATTCAATTTTCTTCCACTGCAACCAATCATTTTCCCATTTTCAAGCCTACTTATTGAAGTAACAATTAGAATCTAGCTGGTTGGTATGGGCACAGTTCTCTCAAATTAAAAACCTTTTAATCTACCTGGTGGATCTGAAACCCCAACCACACACATGCATTGTGTCTGTGAAATAGACTGCCAGAAGCACAGCTCTCACTGGATGTCCTCCTGATGCCAACAAAGTGACCACCTGCATCACTCCTCCATCAGGACTCCTCATCCCGATATCTAACTGATGCCGGGTATGAGGATGTAAGATTTCATGCACAGTACACTGGCTACATTACAAAAGGCAAGCCACAGCTTGCTTTGATGAACAAAACAAAAAATTACATCATTAAGTGTGATTATATACCAGAGCCTGTGATGACAGGACAGTTTCTTGGTAAAAGTTCTGCTTTAACTGACCAGTGTATGCAGAACAAACACCCTCCACCTTACTTTCCTCTAGATGTTGATTTAACACCATGGACAAGCCAGTCACACAATTACCTTTTTAGTGAGTGTATGTAGTTATTGTTTAACTTTACGTTGTCTCCAGCAAGATCCACTGTTCAAGGTAGGTACCAAAAAGACTTGGCTATGTACATGTAATGTCAAATATTTATATTAGATGATATACTCTGTATTGTGAAGTTGAGTGGATGTTCCAAACATATATAGGGATGTTCAGATACCAGTGCCGATACTTGGCATTTTAAAAAGAACTACCAGGGTTGCAGCTGGGACCTAGCTCTGGCGCTCTACCACTGTCCTGAAATCATTAGTCTGTATTGTTTTAGAAAAACTGTCACACGACACTAAACAAAAATGTATCAGTACTTGTATCTGTGAGTACTTGGACAAGTATCGGTACTGTACAGTACATGAAAAAATGGTATCGGTGCATCCCTAATATATATATATTCTGTATTTCCCTTTCCAATGCAATATATATATCAGTATATATAAAACAAATCATATATTAAAACAGAGATACAGGGATGCACAAATCCCAGGAGCTCCGTATGCTCCTTAAAAATGACAGCTGCCTCCTAACTTTTGAGTTTTTCTCGAGTCTAGTCTTGGAGCTGGAAAAGTATCTGTACTTGTACCGAGTATGGTACTTGGTATCTGCACATTCTTATTTTTATTTACAGTATAAGACCCTTTACTTTCTAGGTTACTGAATGCCAGCTTTTAAAATGCCTACTGAATGCCAACCTGAAACTAAGATTTCATCTATGGATAGACACTGGTGAGCTGAATCACTCACTGGCCTCTTACATCTCTTGGAATCTCCAAAGATAAGACCTTCTGTCTTTCCTTCATTCCATCAATCTACCTTTTTGAACGCTCTGTAATATGAGCTACGGAAAATAAGATTGCCTTGAAATACTGGCTGGAGATGGGAAGAGCTGCAAATTAATGTGATGCAGATCTTACCACTAGAATCACTATATCAGAAATAAGAAGGCAATGGGATATTCAGCTTAGTAGCAGACAAAGATTGCAGCAGACCAGCATGCAAGCAGTTTGGGTTCCTATTTAAACCTATCTACTTATACGCATTCCCTCTTGTCATGGATCTCACACTCCACCAATAGCATGGTATGCCTGCAAACACAGCTGATCAGCAGCCTCTGTTGCTTGCCATATCTAACCACTCGTTTGTGCTGTCACTAACCCAACCCAACTGATATTCTGTGAGGCACAATGAAACCAATTCCATGCCAACGGAATAATAAAGTTAAACTGTCAGCCATTTTTAACTGTAAAAATGTCTGGTACTTTTTTTAGCCAGAATATTCAGTTCTGATCTAATAAAATCTGTTCCACTTTCCTAAAGTTCAAAGTAGCTGACCCAATCACTAAGCATCCATCCTTATGAGAGATAAACAGAGTAGCCCAGCCCGTACACCTGGTCCATTCTGTGGTTCCTCCTGCACCCCCTGATGGCGCCTGTCTACATTTTAGGCCCTGTGTAGCAGTACCTCACCATTAATATGTGAAATAAAAGTTCTAGATAACTTGACCCTTTACTCTTCTTCATGGAATAGACTGGCACGGATGCAATCGAAACCTCATTTAAAACCAGACCATGTTCTCACACTTTTTGTTTTTTACTATTAACGGTTACTCTGTGACAGCTATCACAAAGCTGACTGAAGCCAGAAAATGTTCTAAATTACAAAATGATCCACTGTACTAAACTCAATGGCAGCCATCTAATGAACTTGATCTTCTGTGAGTTGTTTACCCTATATACATCTTCTTCCTCCTCTTCATGGTTATTTTCCTCTGGCTCATCGTCTTGCAGGTCACACGAAATGGCTCGTCGAATTTCAGGACCAATGTCGTGAAGAGTTCTCAGCCCCGCCTGTATATTGAAAGTCATATAATTAGGAATATTTCACAGAGAAAGGCTATAGATGCATTTACTTAGGTGAATGGAAATGTACTCAGCTTGCAATCTCTAATGAGTGATAGTTTAGTAATGGTGCCCATACACTGTGCCAATTTTGGCCGGCTTTTGAGGAACCACCCGAGATTCACACAGTATATGCCACTGTCGGCAACCTTTCGGTCGGCATCCCTCGATCAGCTGACTGAAGGAGCTGGCTGGCTCATTTTTGTACAATAGGAGTCGGCAGCCAATGAGCTGCCCGCTCTTGTCTGGTATTTTGACAGTGGCCGGTGGATGCTGGCAAAATACAATGCAAATTGCGGGATTCTTCAATCGACACATTCCTTAAGGTGCCCATACACTGCACGATTATCGTACGATAATCGTATGCGATCGGTTTTTCGTACGATAATCGAGCAGTGTGAACGGAGACGTGCGACCGTTTCTACTGTACGGTCGCACGTCTTCTGTCGAACCAGCATGTTCGAACACCAGTCGGGAATCGTACGATTCTCGGCTGGTTAGAACGGTGCTCGGAAGATAAATGCTGAACGGGCCGGTGTGCGCACGCGCACACTGCCCATTCAGCATTGCGGTCATCGGAAGCCCGCCCCTCAGGGGGGCGGGCTTGCGATGATCGAGAGTGCGATCTGCCTGTCCAAGATAGGCAGATCGTACGTTTTTTTAATCCCTGTACAACCATCGCAAGACTAAAGTCTTGCGATGGTTGTAGAGTGTATGGCCACCTTAAGTGTTGATGGAGGAATTTACAAAACGTTTCTCGATCAGCCTGTGGGTTGAACGAGAAAAATAGATCAGTGTATGGCCACTTTTAGGGTAAAGGTGGCCATTGTGGAATAGGCAGCCTTAGCGGTTGAAGGACACACTGTTCTTGTGCTCCATAGCAATCAGACACTTTCTTTCATTCTTCCACACAGCGTCAGAAGAATTAAGTTAGCACTGTGTTTGGCTCGTATGAGGAACAGGAACTGTTCAGGTCAGGCAGATATGGGCCCCTATAGAGAATGAATTCAGTAATAGGTAAGAGCAAATCTGACTGACTTGTGTCTGCAAGCTGCAGACAAGTGGGCAGCAGTTCCTGGCCATCACTGGGCTGGCTTGATGTGGGCGCTGCCTTACTGTCTGCAGACTGCTAACAGCTCAAGCTCCAAAAACCTCTACAGAGAATATGTAATCCATTAAAGTTCTTTAGTTTCAATGATATTGTATACATATTTACCCATTGTAGCTCATGTACAAACAGCTGGCCTCATTTTGTTGTAATGCTTTCAGATTTATAACACCTGCTGCCTATTCCCATCTGTATACTTGTCTAGTATTAATACTGACTAATCTTAAGCTTATAGCTGGGAAGAGATGACTAAATATCAGTGATCAGTATGAAGTTCCTGCTCGGAGATGAAATACTGAAATGTGTAATTATGCAAGCTCTTTACTACCCACTGCCCAGCTTCTTATATAATTACACTTTCCAGGCACTGCAAGGCCCCTGAATGATTATATTGCATTGGAAAGGGAAATACAGAAAATAGTGGTTAATAGTTTGTAAAACGGAGGAGAGACTGGCTTCATTTTGTATTCTTTGCTACCAATGTAAGGAAAACATCAGTAGATAAAACTCAGTTATATTTTTAATGTCTGTACTGGCAGTTTGAGAATTAATCACAGTGGCTAACAACGTTTCCAGAGCTTTATTTATTCCAAACACAATAACGCACTTTGGAATTGTGCCTGGAGCAATGCCCACTGTCTCCCTCTTAACTCCCATATGGGTCTGGCTCTATGTGTTAGATGAGGCAGCTCGCTGGCCAAAGGAAGAAATGTACTAGAAGAAGGCTGAAGTGCTGTCCTTCCCAATAATGTCACACAATGACTCTGACAGCTGGCTGAAAGCTTCTGTAGGCAGCACTAAGACCACCAAGTGGGCACTTTAGGAATGCCACCAATTTGCCAAACTTTCTCTAAACTTTGCCCATATGTGGACTAAAGCATGCTCTGCTTTGGTAAGCTGCTGAATTATTTTACTGTTCTGACTAAACAGTTGATAATGTTTCTCCATTGAGGTGCTATGATGAGTTAAACAACAGAGGAAACCACAGCAGCTTAGTGGAAACTCCTGCAAATGTACAGTACATTTTAGTCTCTGGAACAATGGCGCTAAACTGGCATTATGGGCCCCATGCAGCCCTCAAGTGCTTCCATAAAAACCCTACTGACCTTGTAGAGATGATTTTGACAATCTCCCTGAAATTTGGAAGGGTGAAGGAGATAATAATTGGGGGTTAACAAAAACAAAAAATACATCATTTTTTAGTGTACTGATTGATGCATTTTCTTGTACCACATCAACAATTCCATTGCACAAGTTCTATATGTTGCTGCACCAGCTATGCAAAAAAATCTAAATAGAAGTGATAAGCAACAGTTCCTAATAATGTCTGACAGTGTGCCAAACTAATCAGCCACTTACACCAATGTTCTAAGTTAAATATTGTTCTAAAATGTAGACCATTATCACAGTCCTGTAATCAGTGTAGTGAGGGGGTGTAGACAGCGAGAAGCAGCACTTCAGGAGGGAGAGGAGAGGTGGATGGACAGAGATCACACCACTATCCAGCAACAAATTGTTCTGCAGCACTTTCATTTATTTGGCACATGAAGCACTAAATAAGTACGCATATCGACACTGGTGCTTTTTTCTCCATTCATCAATATTTGTTAATCCCCCAAATGTGGTAAGAAAATGCATCAATACATATAACTAGTAATGTACTTGCCAATGTTGGTACATGTTTAGGGTTCACAAGCCATTAGCTAAAGCATTTCCCATAGGTCCAAACTGTCCCTCATTTGGAGGAACTGTCTCTCTTTGGGAAACAAATCCCTCTGTCCTTCTTTCCTGCTCACCTGTCCCTCTCTTTGCTCTGATGCATTCACCTCTACAAAAAAACCTACTATTTAACTATCAAACAGGTTTTACTGCATTAAATCTTTCATTCAGCTTTTACATTTTGTGTTTTATATTTTGAAAAGCCAGTACAAAGGAAAGGTAGTGGTGAAAAAAGCAATTGGTGAAAAAAGCAATTTTGGGTTTAACAATGTTGATCTATCATTTTTGATATAATAATTCTTTATGGTCTGTGTAATTGGGGGAGTGGCAGGGGTGTGTCCTTTGCCTACATACTTTGCACTAAATGTGTTCCTCTTTCTCATCTCAGAAAGTTGGGAGTTATGATTTTTCTATTAAATGAATTTGGAATTAATAGACTTTCATTTCCTTTAAAGATTAGCAAAATTAAAAATGATATCTTGTGTGGTCCTTTAGAGGACTCTAATCCAGTGATCAATACTTGCCTATGAAAACATATTGATTGGTTTGTAAGAACTAAAACTGTGTTGCCCATAGCAACCAATCTCATTCCAGGAATAATTTTTCCAGTGCATGACCATAAAGGCAAAACAGCAGGTTTGTCCTTCACCTACAGCCTGGCACCAATGTCTTTACCTGCATTATGTTAATCATGGTTTTATATGCGTGTAAATGCTCCCTTATAGTAGTCTTACAGTCAGACTTAACAGGGTACATTGATAATATGATAAGGGCAATTCTACATGTTAGAACATATCAAATTTCCTATGACTAAAATGAACTACGAAATACTATTCACATATGAAGAACAATAAAAGATGAATACATCAGCACTCCATGATCATAAGAGAAAAAGGGAAAAGATGAAGAGGAGATTATATAAAATAACTATTAAAGGTTTTTTCCAGCAATAAGTGGCTGTTGGCAGACTCAGTCATCCACCGGATTCTTTAAGTTCTGACAAAGCCAGCAAGGAGTCTTACTACACATGCTGAATAGTCCATTTAATAAAACAGCTAATCCAACAAGTAGGGTGAGACCCACTAGAGAGATCTTGCAGCTACAGTCCTTTAGATACATACGCTGCTAATAAGTGAAGCCAGTATCCACTCTAAACTAAAATATTTTTTGCTGGACTAGTCCTTTTACATCAATAATCATCCACTATAAATAGAGGTATTAGATATGCTCAAAGCATGTTCCATTAATGCACATGCTACACTATAACACACAATGAACGCCTTAAAATCTCTTTAAAGAAGTCATACAAAATTCACAAGTCAACAAGCTTATGAAATATTAATCTGCCTACCAAATGATTGAAAAAACGCAATACTCAACAGGCAAGGAGCACACAACGACAGACAGGCAACATGAAGAGGAGACGTACACTGTAGCAGTGGACATAAGAGACAAAGTAGTCAAGCCTTGGAGTCTCCCCATGCTTCCGATCCATTGATGCAGCTTCACTCTCTGCTTCCTGGTTAATGTGAGCCTTGCACTGTTACAACAAGCAGACCTCTCCTCTCAGCCTTGCCGTGTATACATAAAAGGCTCATTATGCTGCAGCTGAGTGACAAATTAACCTCAGGCGGCTTTTACCAGCTGACTGCATACATTTAACAACTGTATAGCCCATTGAAGCTTTCTGAATTACTTTGTGAGTTCTGTGATATTACACAGGAGAAGGCCTACAATTGCTGAAATTTAGAGCCTTTGTGCTAACTGGGAAAACCAATAAAGGGAATATAGCATGAAAGAAAATAGAGGTGGGCTTCTATTAGACGTTAAGTTAAGCAAAAGGATCACTTTTCAATATTTGCATGATTCATCCAAAGTCATTTTTTTGAAAGTTATTGTGAAAATAAATAATAATGAGGGAAGCACGGTACCGGTTTTTCAGTATCCAGTGCGAGTACCAATATTCATATTTCGGTACTCGCCATTACCGAGTATAGATACCAGTACTTCTGGTAGCATGGAGCCGGCTAGGCAATCAGGAAGCTGGGCAGCGTGTCATTACCCGATGCTCGGCTTCTTGATTGCACGGAAAGCTAGCTCGATGCTGTTTGGCCGGATTGATGCTGAATGGCTGGGAATCCGACATCCCAGTCAATCAGCATGGAGCTGGCTTCCTGATTGGGAACCCAGCCACTCAGCATCAAGCCGACCAAACAGCATGGAGCTCCATGCTGTTTGGCCAGCTTGATGCTGATTGGCTGGGAAGCCAGCTTCATTACCCAAGACCAGGCTTCCTGATTGGCCAGGAAGCAGGCTCTATGTTCCTTTGCGACACTGCTGGTCAGAGAAAATTTCCCTCTGACTGGAAGTTCTGGTATCAGGATAAGTATCGGAGCATTTGGGCGAGTACTAGTACTCGCCAAAATACTCGGTGTCGGCACCGATAGTAGTATCCGCATCAGTGCATCCCTACTAATAACACATGCAACGCTACCTACCGTAGTGTTAGGGCAGGGGTAGGCAACCTTGACACTCCAGCTGTGATGAAACTACACATCTCATTGTGCTGCTGCCCCTGAGAGTCATGCCTGTGGCTTGAGTCTGAGTCTTGCAATGCTTCATGGGACTTGTGGTTTCATATCAGCTGGAGTCATGAAAAAAATTCTAGCAGAGTTTTTCAAAAAGACTTTGTCATCTCTTCTGCCAAAAACTCCTTGGTCTTTCTGCCGGCATTGTTTTTATGGGTGTGCATTGCCTACAGTGTATATGCAGTGCAGTGAACCATCTCGGTCCAGTCTTATTAGCTGTTAAATTCCAAGAGTGGAACACAGTGCTGGGATAATACAGCTTCCGCACGCATGCAAAGTTGTAACATCACTGGCTGCCCAGTGGTGGAACAGAAAGGATATCAGATATGGAAGAAATGGTGGCTGGCTGTGGTGGGGACAGAGAGGTGCTATGGGTCCAGCTTTAAAGTGATGTGTTTGTATGACGTCTGCAGGGACATTAGCATATAGACTCCTTTATAGAGGAAAATGGCTGACGTGAAAGGCTTAAAGTACTCTGTAAAGTACTGCTGGATTGGCTGACAATGTGAAATCCGAAAATAATAAACTCAAACCATAGAACACATTCAGAACTATATTTCATATTGTGAGTAAAGTTCTTTATTAGATTGGAAGTCTCTCCAAATAGAGCAGAAATGGCAGCAACAACACAATTTTTCAGCAGTGTGGGAAATGGTTAGAACTTCTGTCACATTTTATGTATGTCTAATTGTTCTTATGACACCCATTGCCCTGATTTCTTTTCTTGGTATCATAGGAACAGATAAAAGGATGGATATTTCCTGTCCTGTCACTAAGGCTAATGTTCTAATCCTTCCTTAATTGAGTTTGGCTTTAATGGTAATTTCCAGTATAAATTGGAATATGCATAGGCTTGGAACCCTCGATGCACCAACAGGCATCAGCTACAACCATAGTTGCCTCGGTTATCAGAGCTGAATTCTAAATGACCGTTTTTTTTAGCTGTATCATTTGTCCAGCCAGATATACAGTAATGATGGTCTGTCAACATAATATAATCAGACAGGACACATATCAGTTAACAGAGCTATAAAACTGCAGGTAGCTGTTTACCAAAAAGCTTTGTGCTTAATACACTCAAGATTTAGAAGATGAAGTGGGATTTCTAACTAATCTGCAAACACCCTTTGAACCCCGGGCTCTGTTTATGAAGGGTTAAATGCCCAATTTCCTAGGGATCAGGTAAACCTTTGTAAACAGACCACCTAACTGTTAAAGTACTGCCTATGAGAGAGGCCTCTTCCTAATCCCCTGACCATGTATCTAGACAGCCACATGGCTGTTTGCCCTGGTTGACAGGATCACATCTATCATGAGAATGAGATTTAGACACAATCTTCATTAGCATATATTAATAACAATAATACAGAGTATAATATAAAAGACAATCACCTGTAGAGCCACAGTGGAGTTCTTCGAAGGGTATTTCCCCACCAGTCCTTGTTCTTTTCGCTTCTTGAATTTCCTAAAGTAGTCCTGTATCAGGAAGGTGGCATAGAACTTCCCCACGGTTACCTCATCATCTAAATGAACAGACAAATCTTTCCCAAGTCAGCAACATTCACGATCACTCTGAACTCTAGCATCTGAAAAGAAATGTGATGGATGCAGCGGATACTAAGCTGTGCAGACAAACCCAGTACAGGACACCAGCAAGCAAGCTAGATGAAGATGGAGGATCTGAAGGAGAAACGGTAAGCGAGATCCAGCTAGACAGAGTGCAACTACTATGTGCTGGAAGTGAGGATCAGTACTTTTCGGTCGTAGTAGTTGGTAAGTAAAAAGGTTAATTGTACAATCTCGGATGGGGGGGGGAGGGGGCAGGCTCTGAAGTACGATACGTTTCATTTAGATTTTCTTTTTAAAACTTGTTTTAAATGTCTATACATTGAAAGTAGAAACCTTATGTTCAAGATTATGTAGCTATATTTTGCTGCATGCTAGGGATTAAATGATGGCTTTACAGCTCCTATGGTTACGGACTCGAAGCAGCTATTTAAAATTCCTCCGTTGCATAGCAGGTGAAGGCAAATCACACCGTGTACCCTGCCAGCTAAGTGCTGGAAACACATGTTCTGTCTTCAAGTTTAAAAGATAATTTGGGTAAGGTAAGAACTACATGTCAATCCCTTTCAATAGAAGTGCAGCTCTTAGCACCAGCCTTGACTCACCTAAGGCAAGAGGGTGGCTGGGTCCTAATAAGAGAACGACTCACGCTGGATGACATCATATTATTACTACTATCATATTTATAAAGCAGTAAGTGTTATATTCACCATACATTCAATGGTGGTGTATCACTCAATGATTATTAAAACACATTCACCAGGAGGATTCACTTACAGCGAATGATTGTTGAATTTACAAATATGTCCATATTTATTTATTATTCATTAATAATTGTGTGCAGGTGTATTCACTTCTGGTGGCCAGAAATGATGTCACCACAAGCAAAGAGGTTGTCATCACTGAACTACACACAATTACATCATACATGCACAAGTCAACACACATGTTGTACCTGTGCAGTAGGGGGTTCTCCTATGCAATGACCACTAGAAGACATAGAAAGCACAGCAATACTGTGGAGAAGTTCCCAAATCCCCATTCTGTACCAATAATAGGAAAACAATTCTAGCCTAATAACGTTGTTTTTCAGTCCTAACTGTAGTTGAAAGCTTGTGAACACTGTAATTCCACCAACAATCTTGCAGTAGTGTGTGTACTTTTGGCATTACCTAGTCATTGGTGCTGTGCTCAACATATCCATATTGGAAGCACATACAGTGTAGTCAAAACAATTAAATTCCAGACACATTTTATTTTAGTTCCTGTCCAGGAGACCACTCCAACTATACTGGAATTGGGTGTCATTTCTCCTATGTGGAGACTGGCTGTGTCTCTTTTGCAGAAACTTCTGTTGACTTCTGGTGACTACCAACACTGGAACATTAATGGATGGAGGTTCTCCCCAAAGGAGCAGGATAGCAATAAAAAATGATATAAGTTCTAATCTTTCTCTACTCTGTCAACTAAAAAGTTCTGCCTGGAACTACAGCAGTAAGCATCACCAACAGTACACACATCCCTTCACGAGTTTCTATCTCTGAGGTTTCCATCAATGGGCTGTTTTATGGATGTACCAGGGATAAAATACTTACCACCTGCAACCATTCCCCTAAAGCTGTCATTAGAACTGGCTCCTGGGACATTGAGGGAAATGTATGAAGGTTGAGTCACATGACACTACAGGACCCATACATGCAGGCAACATCTACCAAAGATTCTTTATTCTGAAGCATGCATCTGTATCAATATTAACAAATGTAGGGGAATACAGCTGGCAAGAGGCAACACTAGTTCCATGCCACCACCCTAAAACAGAATTGCTTCAGAATATTCTGAGAGGATAGTTGAAAGGAAAAGAGAAGGCTGCAGAGAAAGCTCAAGCACAGTAGTTACAACAAGTACAAAGCAGTTCCGTAAAGGCCATGCAAGCAGTAGAGATATACAACTAAAAAGACTGAGTTAGACAAAAACAATGGTTTTAAATGTGCAGTATCGAGGTTTATTTTCCCGTGGTTTAATTGTACTCAGAACTTCTTGAGCTGGGATATCAGCACTCTGTTGTTGTCACCTGTTGCCACTGGAAGAAAGTGGCTGCTCTAGCCTAACGCCATTCCTATTGCTGCTCCTTGTATCATGCTGAAGAGCAGAGTGGCCAGCATGCTCTGCTTAAAAGACTGAGAATGTCACCTTCACAACGCTCAGCCTCCATCACCACTGGCACTGGGGGTCCTCAAGTTGCTTCCAGACCTGACCACTCCTTAAAGTTGCTTCAAGACTACAAAAGTAGAATAAGCTACAAATGACTACAGCAAAGGCATGTTGGTATTGTTATGGATGGTGAGAGAAATGGATTCTGCACCTTTAAAACACCAGACAGGTACAGGATAGCAATAAATAAGTCACATGGCTGATTGGCTGGTGACAGGGGAGAAGCTAATACATATTACTGAATATTATTAAGGCCATTGTGGTGCACAAGTATACACTGATTTGCTGGAGCGGGAGGGGACCTTAAACACCTGGGGTTTGGTGTGCTTGGGTGAGCTACAATAAACCCCAGAGCTGATAATTCAAAGCCTTCAAAACGTCTAAATGTTTCATGGCACCGATTCTGAATCAGGCAACAGAGTACAGAATCTGGCGGTGGTAACATGGCTATGATTATGGTTCTAGTATCAATGCACCAAATATAGCTGTGGTAACATGGTTTTGATGCTGACCCTGTACCGATTTACCAAATCTGGCCCTGGCAACATGGCTATGATTATGGTCCTGGTATCAATGTACCGTGATCTGGCTCTGTAACAAGATTCTGATTCTGGTCCTGTTACCAATGAACCAAATCTGACCCTGGTAACTTGGTTATAATTCTGGGTCTGGTAGCAAGATACTGGTACTGATTTTGGTAACACAGTAATGATTCTATCTCTAATAATTTTATATTGGTTCAGGTTTGGTTCTGATCACAAGGTACAGATTCTGGCTTTGCTAAAATGGTAACAAATGTAGCTATAACATGGAACTAGTCCTGAATCTCACAGCATGCTATTTATTCTGGTTTTGGTATCATTGTATTGGTTTTATCTCTTGTACTGAGATGCCTGGCTTTGGTAATGTTAACAATTTTGACACGGGTAAAGTGGTTCTGATTCTATTTGCTTCTGTTTCTAGTAATATGGTACCCTATGGCTAACGCGATACATTTTCTAGCTTTACAAGGACGGTGTGAATTCTGGTAACATTGTTCTGATTCTATGTCTAGTTATGTGGATCCAGTTCTGGCATTAGTAACATGGTTTCAGTTTTATTTCTGGTAACATGGTAGTGAGATTGTAGCTCTAGGAACATACTACTGATTCTGACTGGGGTAACTTTGTACAAATTCTGGCTCCAATCACATAGTTTAGGTTGAAGCTTTTGTACTGGTTATGGCTTTAACAGCATGGTAGTGATCTGGCATTGGTGACATGGAGCTGCCTACGGCTGTAGTAACCTAGGTTAGATTTGGGCTGCAACAACTTGATATAGATTTGGTCTTATGTAACATAGTACTTATTATAAGTCCGATAATATGGTGTTGATTCTGGCTAATGTTAAGCTGGGTTAGACTAGGGCTCTAGTAATTCTGACAGTTCAGATTCAGACTCTAGTAACACAGTGCTGCACTATTTTTCTGACTGCACTGGACAGGAATGCAGGCACTGATGTGCCACGCGTTTTCGGTGCGGCCGATCACATTACGACCGGAGAGCATGGCTGTTGTACCCTTGACTTCAATGCACTGCCACACCTCCTCCCGCCCTAAAACAAAGTGAGCCAGTCGGAATGCGATCCAGTGGCTGGTGTAAAATAGCCCTTAGAGTAGTACCAGAACAACTAAATAGCTAAACCCAAGTACATCACACATATCCCCCTGGGAGAATTCCATATTAATTTGTCCACCCGGATATATATACTCAACTGTGATTACAAATTTAGCTACATAATTAATTAAAATACAAAATATATAAACATATAAACTAGCAATGCTGTACAAGAAATGCTCCAGGAATGTATCAATGTTTGACAGGTACCCTCTCGCTCTGGCCATTATCACAATGTCCCCTGCCACTCAGCTCAGTCCTGTCTCCATATACATTTAAAGAAACACATACACAAAGCACATATAGAACACATTAAGTCATCACAAGAATGATCAGCACTAAGAAGAATACAATTAAGGAATAGAGAAAAAAAAGAAGATCTGCAAGAACAAGTTAGCACATCTGCAATTAATCACAATATACATGACATGAAAGTTATTACTACACATATCCAGGTTCAGGTGGAAGACACATTTTGTGAATCAGTAGATGAAGAAAATATTCTGTGTAGCAGTAGTTAAACTATACACTGACATTTATCAAAACTGGAGCAGACGAAATCTGGAGCAGTTGCCCATGGCAAACCAATCAGCTTCTCTCTCTCATTTTCAAAGATTAACTGAACAAACTGAAGAGAGAAGCCGATTGGTCATCATGGGCAACTACTCCAGATTCTATCTGCTCCAGTCATGATAGATTTATCCAAATATGTTTATCATCAACTTAGCCTTCCTTCTCTCCAAAAACCCATCTGAACTTTACTGTGTAGAGAAATGTAATAGTGAAAAACTACTGTTCACCAAGAGGTGTTGTAACATATAGGAAGCTTTCAAGGCTGAGTTAACTCAAGACTCATATCTAAGTTGGGTGAACACTGAACTATTAAAACACCCATTGGCTGATAGGAAATTATAGGCAAAGAAGACTCCATGGGAAACTCATTGGTGTAACCCAAAAATGAGAGACCAGTTTTTGGGTAGATTTTGCCTTCTGTTTTAGTTTTGTACAGTGATAGAGCGGTAAACAGTTAGAACATCTGTCACATTTTTACTGTTGTTTGTGTCTCCAATGGGAAGACTTCCCCTTACTTCTTGACCTGAAGACACGTCACCAGGCCACAAAGTGAAGGGAATACTCCCCACTAAAGGCATAGACCGCAACAAACACCGGACAAACCTTTTAACCGTTCCCCACCCTAATACGGCTGTCTGTGTAGCTGTTGAAAAGACTGCCCCCTCAATTCCATTTCTGTTGATCTGGAAGACAGGGACAATCTCACAAACTCGAGCATCAACAAACAGCTGAAAGAGATTAAAAATTTTCTCCTATTTTTTAAAAAACATTTTGGCTATAGTTTTTTTAAGATTTTTCCAAATTGAGCCAAACCTTCTGCAAGATACAGATTAAAAGACAATTCCACCCAAAGACTTATATCTCACCATCTGTTAAATGCTGCAGTGTTAAACCCACCAATGGTTTCTTTTTTTTTGGAGATCTTTGTGCTTGAATTTCAAAATGGTGGCAGTCATTATGAACCATTCTGCTCCCTGTCGGCTTGTTTTATTTTACATTGTGTATAATAAAACAGCAGATATGGTAACACTGACAACAGGAAAAACTCCAAGGTGGGAAGTAACACCTACAATAGAAATATAATTTTTGTACTGCTGGTTCTTTAAATGCAAAGAGCTTTCCGGCCTTATGTCACTGTGACGTGTATATGAACATCTATACATATAAAAGGTGTAGGTCAGCCAGCACTGATTCTTATGGACTTCTAACAGAGCAGATATTCCAGACACACAGATAAAAACACAAACAGCACCATGCTAATAATTCTACTTGTGCTTCACAGATTATATGGCGGCATGACCTGTGGATGTTACTTCATCCAGAGCAAAGTGTAAAGCTGAACTCCCCAGTTCAGGGTCCTTCTCTGCACTGCAAGGGTTAACTGCTCATTTTGCATAGGGGATGATGAATAAGGTAATATACTTACATCATTCCTCACTCCTCCGACAACCAGCACCATGTGCGTTGTCCAACACCCTGGGTCATCGGCATCTTTCCCTACAATGCAGGAGTGATGGTCCTGCATTGTATGGGATGACATTAGAGAGCTGCAACCGATTGGGCAACAGAGAAAAGTTTTTCAGCTGATTGTTTACAGCAAAGAGGAAGCCTGCAGGAGTAAGGCATATGGTAACTATGTCACCGTATTCATCATCACCTAGGCAAAATGAGTAGATAACCTTTGCAGTGTGGAGGAGGACCCAAGGCAAAGGGAAAAGTTTTTTTCTCTCTGTTGTTAAACAGTCATGAGGAAAATACTAAGGCTGTCATTTCTTACCTCTCCTTGCAAAAATGCTAGTCACTTGGCTTTTTATTTAATGGCTTGACTGACCTGGAAGATGTATGCAAGTAAGAACTGATATTTCTGATCTGCATACCTGTCCAGGGTCAGTGCCTCAGAATGTAAAAAAAGGTGGCAGGACAAGATAACCGCCAGGCAAAAAGCATTTTCAGGTGCAAGTTAGCAATAGCATCCTCAGATTTCTACGAAAGGTTTACGTTAATATCGAAGGACAATATAGTAATCAATTATTTTATAACATTATCAGTGAAGTGATAAACATTATTGTACATGCACTTCTGTCTATAAAAACAATAGAAAGACACAAGCGAATGCACAGATTTTTGAATTCCAACACAGAACGATAATATCCTCTCCGCCAACGAGATTTGTTTAATGGAGTTCCTTATTCTTTTGAAGGGTAGCATTCAGTGGAAGGGGTGTGACATGAACACATTGAGTAGAATCCCCTGTTCTGTCAACCTGCCAGTATGAAAATTCACACTAAGCATTCAGAGTATCAGAACATTGTTGTTTGAGGTCCCATTCACACATGCGGCCACGTGTACGCGTGACAAACGTGGCATAAAAAGCTCATGTGCAGGTTCATGCGTTTTTGGACCACACGTTGTCATGTGTCAAATCACCGGCAAAGACGCCGGTAATGGTGCCGCAAGCGCATCACGCCTTTCCCGCGTGCAGCACCCTGTGAACAGCACTGAATTCAGGAGCATGTATGCAGTACACCCAGCACACTCCCATCCGCTGATCACTTTTTGATGACGTTTCCTTTTAACTCTATTGTTAATAATGTGAACCCACCTACAGCTGGCATCTATAAAAGGGGTTAGAACGTGTGTGAAGACATTTTAATACGTTTGTTTTGTTCCTGATTATCTTTAGCTGTGCTGGTACTAGTGAATTACAGGTATACAAAATCAGTAATAGTGTGGCGCATGTAGATAAAGACTTTCACACTGACCGCCTGCAGGAGGGACAACTTGGTCCAGCAGCTTCATACTGGTCTTTTTCCATATTTTCTTGATGACAGCCCTTAGCTCCTCATTGGCCTGTTCTAGATTACCTGGACAGGAAAGGAGAAACAAATGATATGGAAAGACAAGTGGGAATTAATCCCACATACTCCACAGCATAAATATGATTTTAATATTCAATAGAGTCAATTCTCTTAGAAGCCTGCAGCTTTTGTAATAGTGTACTTTATGCGACCATACAGACTAATGGCTGTGCCTACCCCCTGATCTTACAGACAGAAATTACTTTTTACTAGCTGTCATCCAAAGTTCTTGATCCTGTGCAAGTCAAAGAATCAGTTGATCCATGAAAGGAGGATTACATCCTGTGGTGATTTGTATACCCATCAGACTAAACGGGGGTTGGACATTACTGAATAATAGCTGGCCATACACATTACCATCTGGCTATATAATGTTTGTACATTTACCCAAACTTTGTAGTGTTCCTAAACAATTTGAATGCAGCCAGGCATGCATTTGTACTACATAGTTGTTGCTACAACTAAAGGAGTTTGTAAAATGTTAATGTAATGTGTAGGGTCAGTATATGATTTCAAGACAATTACATTTTTAGAATCTCAACATTTCATAACCACGCCATGTTTGTGAAACACACAACAATAAAGCCCTGAAATTTAAAGTGACACTAAGCTCAGGAGTTAAAGCTTTAAAATGCATTCAGGTACTTGTGTGTGTGTTGTAAAGTAGCCACCACTCCAAGCTCACTCCTGTGATGGACTACAATCTCAGTACAAATAAGTAAACTAAACGTGAGATTGTAATCGATCACAGGAGGGAGCTTGGGGTGGTGACTACTTTACCACATACACAGGACCATAGGGAACAAAAGTAGCCACCCTCCAGAAGGAAGGACAGTGCCAGCACCAATTCAGAGATGATTTGAGGGTCTACAGCTGAGTGATACACAAATAAGATACATTTTTGTCAATAGGTAAATTACTTGAATGTATTCTTAAGATTTTAACCCCTAAGTTCAGAGTCACTGTAATTGTATGAGACCTCGTATTTGTCACTAAGATGCCTGTGAAGTTGTTAAAGGCCTCATCTCCTTGGTCATTAAATCTGCTGTCACTAAATATCCAATCAGTTACTGATTTGGTATTTCACACGTCTCAACTATATAACATGTTGCTAGAAAACAAATGATCCTAAAATCTAATCTACAGTATGTGGACAGACGTAATTCTATTTCTGCTGCAAAATACAGGAAGAAATAGAAGAGAAAAAAGAAACCAGGGGGCTCATCTATAAATCTTCCAATGGGAAAATGGCACTCGCATGGCACTAAATGGAGCTGAGGAGCAAGGGAGGTTCCTATGCTCCTCACGCCATCTAGTGGCCAGTAGTGCCATGCTAACGGCCTTCGCCCAGGTATAAGCTGGATGGAAGCTTTATAACTTAGCCCGCTGCTGTCCTATTTCTCTTCTTTCTTTATAAATCAGCCCCAGGTTTCCACTACTATAAAGTCAAACAATAACTAATAGGGAGGAGTTTGGGATTGAACCAAAAAGACGGCAGTGCTGTTACATGTATTAGGAGAGATTTACCTCCTTGAAAGCTTTTTTACTATTTATGTTTGTGAGTACATTTTATTATATTAAATCTTATATGATTTTACGGAGTACGCTATGTAGTGTCCTGCTTTTGTCTCCATTTGCTACAATTCACTGACACTGTTTGGGAGCATTTCCACCGCTGGAGAATTACATCTTTTTAGTGGAGAAAAAAAAGAAGTTTTTCACCGTCTAAACACCGGGTGTCTTTCCATCTGAGACTAAAAAGGGAAGTGGCGTTTCCAGCCTTTTATAACGTAAGGTCGCATGGAGAGGTAAGAGTTATTCTATTGGGAGTGGAAAGTGGAGATCGCAAGGAACACTAATAGGACTATTCACAGAAGGGTGAAGAGTTTGGAGAAGGCAGGAGAAGTGAACAATCGAGGACAACATAGCTGATTTGGAAAAATTCTCTAATTCAGCTCACTTTCCAGTTCAGCTATGTTGCCCTAGATTGTTCACTTCTCCTGCCTTCTCCAAACTCTTCACCCTTGTGTGAATAACCCTGTAAGGAATTATTCAATCACTGGCTAATCACATTCACCTCTGTGCTGGTTGCACAATTCACTTTATGCTGCACGATATATTTATCACAAGTGGACATATGTATTGTGTATGTGTGACTACAGTGGACTGTTATCACCCTGTTCAAATATTCAACTTTGTTACTGCATTAGAATGGATACATTCTGTTACATTATTTGAGGCACTATAAGTTTGATACAATTGTATGGCAAATGCTAAGTTTCATATACTGGATTTAGATGCGGAGCACATTTGAGAGCGCGGCACATTTTACCTAATTTGAATAGCTCTCTCCACCCCCACTGTCAAAATTGTACAGCTCCTTGTTTCTGTATTGGCGAAATGTTATGTACCCAATAAAATAAAGTATTGGTTTGTAATAACATACCCTCCGTTTTGATTTTCAGGGCTGTTCTAACCAAAGCAAACAACGTGGCATTAAACATTACTGTCCCATCGCTGTTCAGGGGCATATTCATGGCTACCAGTCTCTGAGGGAGGAAAACAAGTGTTAACTATTGCATATGCTTCATTCATTCCCAGTTAAATCAAGAGATCAAAACTTCCAGTCTTGGTTATTTTTCTGTACATGCGTGTATCTGATTGACTGTTATGAGGCAGCCCAGTATGTTTCAATCTTATATAGTTCTTCCATTAGACATTTTAATAAGGCCTGGTTCACACCTAGGAGTTTTTGAGCAGTTGGGAAAGCACTTTTTAACGCCCACCACAAGAAATCCCATGATTTTCAATGGCCCCTGTTCACACCTGAGGAGCAATACGCCAAACACTTGAAAAGGCATATGAGCTTCTTTTGGCAGTTAACAGCACAGTTTTGTCCCATAGACTTCAATGGAAATGCTCGAAAATGCCCGGAAAAAGCATGTTGCACTTTTTTTGTGCGCGTTTTTACACGCGGTCATTCATTTCCCTGCATTGTTTCTTAAGCTGCCAGTCAAAATGAGTGTTTCCATGTACGCATGTCAAAATGTGCAAATAACCGCACGCTGAACACGCGTGTACAAATGCACAAAAAACAAAGCCGCCTAGGTGTGAACCCGGCCTAGGTGTGAACCCGGCCTAAGTTCGCCTTTTCTTTCATCTGTAACTAAACTATGTTTATACAACATCACTAAAATAGAATGTAAATAAAATGACCTGCAACTATCACAGATCACAACTCATACAAGAAATCAGATGATTGCCAGTATTGTCATGTAAAACCAGGGAAAGCGGAAATGCATTTTTATTTTAAAAAATCACCCAAAAATGGGCGTATGCTACATGTATGCGCACTTTTACTTACCTTACAGGCAACTCTGTGTGGACATAATTTTCCAAAACCCAAGGGAGGCTGAATACGACGGAGCAATGTGACCACATCCAGGTGTTTTATCCTTCCTCTAGATTACACAAAAAGGGTTCATAATAATAATGCAATAAATATATGAAGTTCAAAGTGGTGCCTAGTCTGAAAGGACATTGTTATCAACCAAGTTATTATTTAATAAAGGGAATCTGGTAAAGAGGAGCTGGCATAAGGATTACATTAAAAAACACTTACTACCTGTAAATAATATCTGTAAACAATAGCTTTGTCCTGCCCACACACGGTCAAATCTTAGATTCCAGATATGGTTATCCTTAGAACGTCTTTACTGGTTTCCAGTAGCCTTCACTGCCTCTAAAGCCTCATGAGACTATGCAGACAGGGTTGGGGAGGAGGGAAGTTAAAGGAGAATTATGAGTGAAAAACACTCATCCCCATAATTCAAGCCGACCTGTGACAGTGACGCTGTCACAGGTTGGCTCTATTAATCGGGAAGTCAGCAAACACATACCGACGATCGCTGACTTCCCGATCTTCTCCCTGCAAAGAGCAGTGACTGTCAATCACTGCTCCCTGAAGGGATTGTCCCCCTCCCCTCTGTTTCTGTAGTGTTGACAAGAGGAATGGACGGAGGAGGGGGCGGGCACAGCTGGCTCTACCTCTAGAGAGGCAGAGCCAACTGTCAATCAGCCAGCGGGGTGAATCCTGAAAGTATTGTCGGGATCCGTCCCGGCTGCGTTGCGGCTCTGCGCTCTCAGCAATATCCCGCTATATGCTGAGTTTTGGGTCACCGGAGGACATTAGTATATATCCTCCGGGGACCCTGAAGAGAGCTATGGAAAAAAAAGGTTAGGTCATAGTTCTCTTTTAATGACATAACAAATCATGTGATCAGTTGACCAGGAAGTCTGGGCTGTCTTATTGGTTCTGCATTCTGAATGGAGCATTGTAGTTCATACAATGCATTGGGCTGCGCCATGGGCTTTGAACCAGACCATTCAATGGAACCCGGAGCCAGAGTTTACGTATTTTAGTTACTTTGCAAAGTAATGTGGATTATATCCTTAGAATATATTTTCAATGCAATGTCCACTTTGAACCTTATTCAAACAATACAAAAAGCAAAATATTTGAAATGTTCAGCAAGCACAATTGGTTACCTGCTCCCATTTGAAAAATGGCACCTGCTGCTCTAAAAGACTCCAGAAATCCCAAAGAAATATGGACTTTCTAAGAGTCTTCCTTTCCATAGGGTTTGGCACACCTAACCCTTCACCCTCTTGACCATCAAGTGGTAGTGCTTTGGCTTCATTGCTGGCCATTTGGGCAGCCATGGAGGTTTAGGGAGTGTTCCTGTGTACCTTACCCCAAAACATTTTGTTGCGGGCAACTTTATTATAGGGTCAGCAGTTGGCGCTGTTGCGGGTAGGAGCAGGCAACTTATGATGCGTGCTTTACAGCATAAATCTTAATTCGCTCTTTAGAATCTTAATATTTTAAATGAATATTTAAAATATTAAAGGTTATTTTAAATGAATGAGAACTAACATTGTATTAATTGATACCAGTATGCATCCTTTCTAAAACTGCCCATTGTTTTTCCTTGATGTTATAGACAAATGTATGCTACGGACATACACAGAATAGGTGCTCCATGTATAGAATTTTCAGAGACCTAAGGGATCTTGTGTTTTATGGTAACATATAGGACACACTACATAGAAATGTATATATAATAACACAACATATGATGCAGAATAAAACTGACTTGGCCTCTGGATCATATTCCGACCAAATCCTTTTAAATTCATCCAGATGGTGAGGACCCAGAATGGACCAATCACGTGTCAAGTAGTCAAAGTTATCCATGATGACAGCCACAAACAAATTAATAATCTACAAATAAAGAGAAGCAGTTAGTAAACAGATACCCATAGGTTCACTGTACAACACAATAAAAAAGGTTGTTGTAATCCATTATGAAGATGCTGTTAAAGTGAGACTCCGTCAGAATAGTTTTGTTCGTATTGGACAATGATTTTACTGCTCTCTTTGACTCTGTTGATAACTTTCACTGGCAGAGGTTCTAACCCTGCTTTAATTTTATTATCATCCGTGTCCCGTTTGGGGAGATTTCACTTCACTTCCTGTCTTGGTAAGCACCATTACAGGTCCTGGAAGTGAGGGGAAATTTGCCGGTGACTGAGACAGCAATGGTAACATGAAATAGAGTCTAACGCTTCATTTTGTATTCTCCAAAAGAGAAAATGTTTTGAATGGAGTTTCAATATGAATACAGTTCCATTCCACCATAAAAGTGAACGTGTCACATACAAGCAATTCAAACTGAGCACAAAATGAAAAACACAAGTTACGTTCAGTGAAAACTGCCTAAACCATCATTAGATCCGGAGATAGAGACTGTTACAGGAAAAGGTCAGCTTGGCTTTAATCACTCATACCTCTTGAGCCTTTAATATGAGAGGTGCTCTCACTGACCAACAGCAGGCTTTGGACAGATGGGCCAAGTTTCATTTGTAAACTCAAGATTTGCATATAAATTTGCCTCTACCTCTGGATCTATCAGTTATTTTTACATGCAGTGTTCACTGAAGGTAACCAGCAAACATACTTTAAAAAAAAAAAAATCTGCTTTGTTTGCTGGATTGCTGTAGCCTGCTAGGCTTACAATCACTGAACTATAAACCATCCAATCGCAGTAGGTGCTGCTCTTCCCTGTATATATCAGGCGTCTATGGGCGCCAGTTTAAAGTAAAGTAGTATGTAATAAATAAGGGTGGTGGGGGGAAACAGCACACTGACAGCTACTGAACTACCCTGATTTGGGTATTTTTATATTTCCACTTACCAGAAATGCACACAGCATGTAAAATGTTATGAAGTAGACAATGGCAAAATTGCTCCCACAGGTGTACTCCTCTTCGGAAGTGAAATCTGAATCTGGGTCACACTGCTTCCCTGGTAAACAAGCCAGCATAATGTCCTGCCAGGCCTCCCCAGTGGCACACCTTGTGATCATTACAAGAGAGATTGCAGACATCAGCACACATAAAAAAATTATTAAAAAGAGACTTTCATTTAAACCTATATGAAACATGAATATACAGAATTTAAATATATAAGTATTGAAGTGAACCTGTCAGTCATTTTAAACTTTTGAAAGAAAAAGTCCTACCTAAGAGCGAACACCATATGATGCCTTCTAGACCCTTTATTAGGTTAAAAAAAATAAAGTATTTTCTGTGCCCAGCTCTTCGACTAGTTTCAGTTGTTACTGGGGCCTGATTTTTCCTGACATTTAGCTGAACCCACCACTGTCCTCTCCCTGTCCACTGAGGGTGCCTCAATGGCCAATATGGACACCCTCATTCAATAGGATGATGATGGATAGGTGGGGCTTAACTTTGTTAGTAGTGAAGTAAACATAAAACAAGTAAAAGTAAAAAATGTGAGGAGAGTGTAGATGGCTAACAGGTTACAAAAACTAGTATTACAAAAAGCAAGAAAACACTGACATCCAAAGGTGCCGGCTTCTACATTAGTGCTGTACTGCTTTTTGATTTGCTGCTGCGGATTTCCCAAATTCCTGAGCAAATAAAGACTTTCTAAATGCTGATATCTGCAAAGGGCTAGGCCTAATACCACCCCCACCCCCTTAAAGGAGAACTATGAGGTGAGTGCTTTTCACTCACCTCATAGTTCTAGCCGACCTGTGACAATGAGACTGTCACAGGTCGGCTCAGTAGATCGGGAGGTGAGCGAACACATACCGGCGTTCGCTCACCTCTCGATCCTGTCACGGCTCTCTGCCGTGACAGGGGAGGGGCTGGATTCCCCCCTCCCCGCTCCGATCCGCCAGCACTGACTGGTGGAACGGACGGGGGAGTGGGCGGGTACAACTGGCTCTGCCTCTAGATAGGCAGAGCCAGCTGTCAGTCACGCAGCATACCGTGAGCTACAGCTCGCGGTATACTGAGCCTAGGGTGACGGGAGGACGCTAGTTTGTGTCCTCCCGTTACCCTAAAGAGAACTATGGGGAAAAGCATTAACCCCATAGTTCTCCTTTAATGACAAGTCATTCAGACTCTGGGCACTGCACTGAGCAGGTCTATATGTTCCCCATACCTAGATCCACCATATTGTTTTAGTGCTGCAACAGCAGGTCCCTGGGGCTGGGCAACCTCTTAAGGTGCAGGAACCTTAGTGTAGTTGCTCTGCTTTGTCCGGATTAGCTTGCTTTTTGTAAAATTACTAGAAGCGCATCCTCAGAGGATTTGAGATCCTGAGAAAATTACCTGGATACCACGAGAAGGCCCAGTGACATCACTTTTTCCTAGGCATACACACGGTGAGTATGTGTCAAATGTTCTTGTGTTTTATCATTTTTCAGTGTTTTTTTTTATTGCTTTCACTTAAAATTTTTACGTGGGGGATGTCATACAAGATAAGGTGACCTTGCATTTTTATGTGAGGACTGCCTTAACTTCTCATAAAACATATATGTCTTGTGCATTAGAGAATAATTACTAAAAAAGCTTTTACATTTCAAACACACATATACATATACTATACGGATAGAATACATGCTGTAAAACCAGGAATTTGGTCTGTTTGACAGTACAAGTCTCTAAGATGGAAAATCACTGGAAATATTCTAACATGAACTAATCAACTCTTTGGTGCCCACATGTCATCTACAGACAAAGTACAATCATGTAATTAAATGCCAAGACTTGCTCATCTGCCATTACAAAGCCAAATTGGGTTTCCATGGTCCTTTGAAAGATTCAAGAACAATATTATTTGTTGAACAAATAATATGTTCTGTCCCAGGGACAATGCTCTTTCAAACGGGGATTCAACATCAATAAAAAGTAGAGTGGGGGATTTTCATTTCACATCATGGCCCACTGATACCATTCTGTTGTGACAGAAAATTAGGGAAAAGCTCCTCAACAGGACCACAGCCACCAATAAACTCTTACAAATGTTCTAAATGTTTTACACCCTATTCAAAACTTAAAAAGCTTTGGACAGTGGTACACTTTAAAATGAACCTATGGGGACAGAAAAAGAAAATCTTCAATTGCTGACTTATAGTTAGAAGTCTAAACTTCAAGGTTCTCAAGCAAGAGAGGGATAGGACTGAAAAGGTGGGTGGCGGACAGAACACTACTCGGCATGCCTTCGGCAATGACTTGCAAGGATCCACAGCCATCCACCACAATGACTGCAGAACACCAACAACAACTGTAGCTGAGGTGCTCAAAGCCTGCAAGGGGAACACCCTGACAGACCATCAGGCTGACAATATGTGCCCCCTAGGGCAAAAAGCTGCCCATAAGGAGACGGCCATCGCAGCCAAACCTGCACGGCAAGAAACTGCTTGCACTTGATGGCTACAAATGGAGGAAGGGGAGGGGGGGTCTACCAGGATCTATATTACCCAACCTATCACACTGCCAGTGACTAGATTGCAGAAGAAATCCAGGGGGACGTAGAATTTCCAGGAGGAAAATTATATGTTCTAACTCTTAAACGCTAGGCTAATAACTGACTTGTCCACAGTTGCTGATGCAGTTATGGCCACCAGCAGGGGACACCCCCTGGGCTGTATTTTGTTATTTAGCACACCTAGCATACTACTGATGCTGGTGATGATATACCCAGTCAGCAATTATCTAAAGTAGAACTGTGTTTTCCAATGGACAAAAGGGAAACATAAACCTTAATTGTTGACTTTTTTTTAGAAGTGTAGGCTCCAAGGTTCTCATCCTAATCCTAGCTTTCTATCTGCAACAAGCAGGGTGAAAATCCAGACTTCCCTGGTCAGTTACTAATTAGATAGTGAAGGATAGCAAGGGATCCCAAGGATAGAATGGCAAGGATAAGGATGGCAGCCCCAGAGCCTGAACTATTAATTAGAGTTCTCACCAGAACTAGTGTCCCCTCTTTATTCCTGTTTGGTTACAAATCAAAATAAAGAGTGTGAATCTTCTTAGCAAGGACACAGACACTGGTTCAAACCTGACTATGGTTCTAATTCCTAACACATTATTTAAAACAAAAAAAGTTTTGGTTTTAGAAATACTTTATACACAAGACCAAAATGCCTGTACCCATATTTCTATCCTTACCGATTCCTTAAAAAAAACAAAAAAAAACCTTCATCGGGTAGGTGTTAAAATAATAATTACCTGAATAAAAGGAGCACAGCCTGTGGAAAGGTCTGGAAATTGTTGTTCCTGTTTATCTGGGTGTTATCCCTCATAGCAACTTTACCAAAAACCTGCATAATACAGTTACAGATAATTAGCTTTTATTGAACCAAAGTGCCAGTAAGCTAAGAAAAATACATGTTAGCTAATAGAACATTTACATGCATTTTGCAATTGTTTTTAACAGCTCCATAGAAACTTAATATTTCACTCTTGATGGTCTTGCTACGCTGCATATTGTTTTTCTGCAGTGCCAATGCCATGAAATCCTGGAGGGAGAGGAAGCCCTGTTTAAGTAAGAATTTAAACAGGGCTCCCAGGCCTCACAAAACAGCCCTGGGCCAATCAACAAGCACCAGCGGTGTCACATCCGCTTCCTGTTGCTAATGCCCTGAAAAGCACCATATGCTCTATTCCTTTAATTTTACATAAGTAATCAAATACTAAAACCTCTAATTTAGCACAACAACCAGACAACTTGCATTTTTTGAAGGCAGTCAATGGCAGCCACTATAATCCTCTCAGTACTGGTTCAATATTTTTAGCAATCTCATAGTCATCCACTTACAGACCAGTACAGTAATCAGTATAAAAGTGTAATACAAATTTATTTAAAGTGTTTATTCAAAGTTTAGAAATTGACCTGATGTGTCTGATGACACACAAGTAACATTGTCAATAGCTGTATCTTAAGTCTCACAACTAAGGATACATGACTGACAAATTTAGAGCACTCTCCGTTGTGATGATGAAGAGATTGTCAGCGCATCAAGGAGTTTTTAGAAGGTAAATCTCAGATAAAAAAAATAACTGGCACAAAAACTGACGAAATGTCACCCAGACTCTTATTATAATAAAGAGGCAGCAACTGCAATGTATGAGCCCCTTTATACTTATTCTTATCTAGAGATCATCTGAAAAGAGGAGAGAAGGCCAAGTCTGGGGCTCTATCAGCACTGAACAATCCCTCTGCTGAGTTCCTCAGTCATGCGTCACTGAGTCTATTTAAGGACCTTACTATTACTGAAAAAACAAGCAATTTATCAGCAGGGTGGGTAGATGAGGGCTTTGCAGCATAAATCTAACAGCAAGATAAATGCAATAATTACCACCAACAATTTAACATGTAGTTATGTTTTTTAAGCAGTGACTTTAATAGCCTTACCTGCATGCCAATTACAGCATAGATAAAAAACAGCATTGCTATAAGCAGGGCAACGTATGGCAAAGCCTGTGGGAGAAAAAGTTATTGACATTTATTTATACAAAATGATATGAAATATAGAAAAGCCACAAAATAAACAACTATCTAAACTGAATTCTATACCACTTGAGGACTGGTGACAGGGTACATGCCCTTTGGGTCTCTCTTGTTTAAATGAGCAATGATGGGGAAAGTTTGTCTACTTGATTGAACCTTCATGGCAGCTACTTCTCCCTTTCAGCATTTCCCATTTTCTTTCCATTTTTATTGCACTGCAATGCACCACTCAAATCCTCTACCCCATGTTAAATGCAATTAACCTTCTCCCCTAAAGGAAATGTACAGCCTTTACTTTTTTTAGATACACACACGTCAAAGAGATCAGCACAATAATAGGTGTGTGCAAATGTTGTGTGTGTGTGGTTTAACAACCTTGGCTCTATGTATAATTTGTAAATATATATGCACATTGAAGCTGCCATGTTTTCTGATTTCATGTGTAAGCGCTACTTCCTGCTTTGCAATGCTACATGTTGGTTGTACCTTACTGTTTCCAAAAGGGGACGCTCTAGGATGGTGTTTTTGAAGCTGCATAATTGTGGCAAGACCAGAAGAAGGAATGGTAACACCCATGTCCTATTTCTCTTTTATTTCTTACAGACCAGAAGGGACACGGAGACTTGTAAACAGTTTTTTTCTTTTACAGAACGGGTTGTCCTAAAATAGCATTAGTGTAAGGTCATGTGGTCAATTATGATACAAAATATTGCTTAACAGAGTCCTTCTTTAATTGTGTAAGCTACTGTATGTGTTTGATGTGTTACTATGTCACAACTACTCGTACCTGGAAAGACTTTATAAATGTCCACAGCAACGTCCGGATGCCTTCGCCTCTGCTTAGCAGTTTCACAAGTCGCATGACTCTGAAGAGTCGGAAGAACGTGATTGAGATGCGAGCACTGTCTTCTGAGCTCTGAAAGGCATCATGTAAATCAAGCCAAAGACAAGAGCAGATGGACAGACAGTACATGGGACAGAGCAAGTTGGTGCACACAGATATAATGTTGAGCAAGAAACAGACCATGTTGTTATGTTGTTAATCTCAGCACAGACAAAGACAATCTCAGCACTGAACTACAAACCCATCTTCTTCAGACCATGTTGAATGGATTATAGTTCAGCAGCAAGGCAGATAAGATTGTCCAGCCTGTTTTTTTCTTTTGGGTAAAGCGCAGCAGTATTTTTTTTTTTTTTTATGTGCAATGAGCCTGCCAAGTGGTGCCAGTGGTAGGCACTGAAGCTGCACATGCTCAGACAGACTTGGCTTCCAGCTGCATTATGGGAACACGCACATGCATTTCTCAGCCTTGATTCTCACTGAGCTAAACGAAATGAGGGCCATTATACCAGATTCAATTTTTTTTCCTAGACTTAATGATAAAACAGGGCAAGCTGGCAGGAAATGATACAGAATAAAGGCAAGTAGAGGTCAAACCACTCGGGCACCACTCATCTTACCGGGTCCCCAGTGGGGCCTTGTTCTGTTGGCATAGGCTTTAAGAAATCGAGAACATTAGATATTAAAAAAAAATCTTAGGAGGACAATGAAAAAAAGAACACTAGATATGGAGGCAGCAACGTCTCATGAGCAGGACTTTCTACTGGGTTTGGAGCATATGAATAAATGGTTGCTGGTGCGCCAAATGATCTTTAACAATGATGCCATATTAAAACATAAAGGGTATTAACAATTAAAAGACTAAAAACAGAGTGGTCAATTATGTGCAATAATCTTTTTCCATAAGGTTATAAATAATATTTTATAATAAACTACCAGTTCTCATGAAAAGGGAACTGCTCAGCTGTGTACCTTTATTAACTCTTTTATTCCTTTATGCTTGTGCAGGTGGTGAAACTATCCACTGTGCATGACAATCAGATAAAACTTCTAATTTGGCCTTGTTGCCAAGAGGGAGCGTTAATCACAGTTGTGTCTACAGAATGCTGATTGTATGCATTCTGAGGGCTTTTTAGTCACATCTATACTCAAATCATATTTTAAAGATACGTTAAGTGTCTTGTGAGTTAAGACCTCCCATTTGACCAATTGCATAGTTTTCTGTTTATAGTGACCATTCCAGGAGGGAACCAGGGGCAGCATTTTCTCCATGATGGGTAAGCATTTCAGCCTTTCTATTACTCTTTTTGAATCCAACCAGGCAGAACTGATAAGAAAGCTTCATTTTAAGGGCCTAGAGAGTAAATGCTCACATGTTTCCACACATTGCGCCCTCATTGTCCGGACACGCAAGTCATCACTTGAAGAATGTCTCTCAGCAGTGATGGCTTGCTCATCTGGCCAGCAAGGAAGTTACATGTAGAAACATGTATTTACTCTAGTCTGCATTCTGTTGTTTGCGAGTTGGCACCAGCGATAGGATCCCTAGGGGCAAGTTGCCAGCACCGAAAGAACCCATTGTGGGCAAGTTGTCACTACTGAAAGAATCGCTAGTGTGCATCCTCTGTGTAATTTAGGAGCGTGTGCTCATGATACTGGCCTTGGTTGGGATTGTCTTTTGATGGTGACTGCGTTCGCCTTTGTTGCCTCTCCTGCGGCCGCCTGGAGGGGAGTTGCTGCGTGGCTATGGATGTATTCCCTAGCCTACCCTATGTGCTGGCCTACGTAAGCTGGGTATTTATGTCTCCATGACCTCCTGAGGATGCTACTTTGTAGTGGAACTCGATGAGGGAAGGAGCTTCAAGTCCCAAACTATGCTTGAAGAGCTTATTATGGTTATTCTACAACATGGGACGGTTATGTGATGTGTATACAATATATTATTAAGTGGTCTTTATTCACCCAGCATGGTTTTAATTATCTCTGTATGCATTTTAAACATGTGTAAATAAAATTGTTGGTTTTTATACTGTATATGTGTTTCGGCTCTCTGGTTGTATCTTAAAAGGACCCAATATTCTCTTGATTTTATTTACACTTCCACTGGGGTGTGGTACCAAAGCTGATCCCCTGAGTTGATATCTTTATGTGTCTATCCCTAGAGGGCAAGTTGTCACCAGCAACAGAATCCCTAGTGGGAGAGTTGTCACCAGTGAAAGAATCCATAGTGGGCAAGTTGTCACCACTGAAAGGATCGCTAGTGTGCTAGTGTAGCTTTAACATTTGAGTATAAGTCCACTTTAAGAAAGTACAGTTGTATCTACAAGCATAAAGGAATAAAACAAGTACATTCTATATAAAAAGTTAGGTTTCAGGAACAGGTGGCAAACCCACAGTGCTTGGTGGCCAGCACATCTATTCTACATCAAAGCACATGAGCAGGTGCAGAGGAACCTCCATTCATCACCTGTATACGTACATGTCATTTGGGGCACATTCTAGCAAACACAAACTATACACGTACACTATGCCTGTCAAAATGTATTCCAGTGCTAACTTGCACAGTGTGTATGGGAAAAACGTCTTCCCCACAGAGGTTTTCTTTCACCGATGTTGAAGGTGCACACTGGAAGACGGCTTGTGCCACCCTGACACCTGTATACATGAACCCTGCATTTATTTCCCTACTTATTCTATCACATTGGTCAGAAATGTCAAGTTAAAATCCCCTTTCAAAAACTCTCCCCTTACCCTAACTCAGACAAAGTTAGATATATTAGATTACTAGTTATCTAGAGTTAATATTCTGAGATACTGTCATACTAATCAATTGTTTAAAACTTTGTACATTAGCATAAATAGCTCTATATTATACTTGCAGAGTCATGTACTGATGTGTGAGATCACAGCACATTTTGATACCCACAAGCATTCTTACTCACTATAAAGCAAATCTGAATGTTCCACCCACACTCCATGGCCATGGCCTGCCCATAGATAGGGTCAGCTTAGTTGAAAGGTGTGGTCTGGTTCTCCAGCAAGGTTGAAGTGCTAGCTGCGTCTGTTCTTAAATTTTTATAGTAGAGTACCATGATTATGATTCGGTATTTGGGATAAAACTATTCCCTATGAATACAGGAAACTGTTAAAATAGGCCAAAACGTAATCTTGCTCTGAAAATAAACTGTCATTTTAAGACTGCTTTGTTACGGGAACATTATGTTTGGTTCCACAAATAAAGTTTCAAAAATATAAAATGAATGTAGGTATTCAAGGTTTCTTCACCAATCCCAATGGAAGCACTGATCATGTTGCAATGCCTTGTTGTCTTTCCTAAATAAACATATTGTACATGCCACACCTGACCAACTCATGCTGCATGCAACACCAGTTCCAAGTACTTAATTCTGCAAACTCCAGACTTTTTTAAGTTGCAATGTCAATGTATAGTGATGCAAGGTCACATTCAAAGGGAGCTCAGAGAAAAGTGGGCAAAATGCATATGACCGAAAACAAATATAGACATTACATAACAGGGGGGTGGGGGGGGGGACAACTGCAGATTGTACAGATGGAAAAGAACTTTAGATAAAAATATTAGGATGCATCCTTGTGGGGTCCTAATCTTACCGTGGGTGGCCCAGTTGGGTCAATTTCTGGTGGCTTTGGAGAAATTAAAAGGATTGTAAGTTGAAGGCAAGTAATATAGTTTAAGTTATGGTATGGATGCTACTCCTTGCTTCCTGTGCTGAAACCAGCAAGATCTAATGACATATAAACATATAACACATGCCTGTGTTTTTTTATACTTTTCTAATCAATTTATTCCATCTCCCTTTGATTCTCTCGATAGTTAAATATTCAAATCCTGCATTACCCAAATTCAATGAACCTTTGTCATTTGTGTTTCTCACCAGTGATGGGCCTACCTGCCCACTTTTCACATTTACTATAGTTTTTACTGCAGTGGTTTTGACTTCATAAACCAATAATCAATCAACAGCGTAGCCCAGAATGACTTTTATAGCTTAGAGTGAACCTGCCATGACAGAAGAACACAGGGCTGCACCTGCTGGCCTGTTTCTGAATATGCAAGATGCCTGGCCTGGTCTTACTTCAATACTTTGAGTCAGAGACCCAGAGCATGTATACTGTAAATAGCTGACTGAAAGCCAGGCAACTAATGATCAGAAAAAGAGGGGTCAGCAATGACTGTCTCCATCATTCTCTCAAGACAGGTTCCCTTTAAGAATATGTAATACCGTCCAACAGCATGTTGCTTGAGTCAAAGCTAACAAGAGTGGTCCAAACTATAGAACATATTAACAAATGTCTAATATATATTATGATGTGGACTCCATTGATTTAACACAAATATAAAATAGATTGTGGTAGTTTTGCTATTTTTGCACTGTACACATTCCATTTCCAGAGAGACAATATTTTTCTATATACATTTATTGCTGCTCTATACATTAAAACCAACAATAAAAGCAAAGCAAAAAAAAAACACAGATGGAAATACCGTCAACCTTGAGATGTAACAAGCCTATGAAGACGTCATTCTCACTATAAATATGCCCATCTATGTAGGAGATCCGCTAACAGAAATAGCAGCGCCCTGCACAAGGCAGATTGTTACATTACAAAAGGATAAAGCTAATTAAAGGAACAGACAGTAAATGCTTAATGTATGTGGCGCCAGCAGAAGAGGTCATGAACCCAGCAAAAAAGGCCAAGCTCATATGTAATTTAATGTTCTTAGTAATAATGTATATTTGTACATAAATATTGTATATTTGCGCTGGTCATCTCTGACATAATTACACTGCACCTGTGCCCAGAACATGGACATTAAAGTAATTACATATTACAAAATAAAATAATCAAATTATCGGTGCTATATAAATACCAATAATAAATAAATAAATCAAGCACTCACTGACCTATTGTAAGTAGCTGCAGAGAGAATCATCTTAAAAGTTCACAACAGAGGAATTGAAATCGCAGCTCCTCTCCCCTTTTTTTCTCTTGCAGCAGTGATTGGGCTGCCTGCCACAAACAGCAGGCGCTTG